ACATGATCTTTGTTGAATAAGTTTCTCCATTTCTTTTTGTTTTTCCTCTAATTTATTCTGAGCCTCTATGTTACAGTTTTTATTGCTATCTATCTGTTCTGTTAGACCTTCTATTTCCTTTGTTAGTATGGACTCTTTTGACCTAAATTGCTTTTGTTTTCAAGATGAGTACTGAATTGCATGGCCTCTAAAGGCACATTTAAAGGTGTCCCATACAATAAGGGGATGGAAGTTACAATCTATTTGCAATATTAAAGCTGATCTACCCCCTAAAAAAAAATTAAGACCTAGTTAAGCTGCAGCTGGTCCAGAACAGAGCGGCACGTCTTGCTCCTCATTGTAATCAGAGGGCTAATATTAATACTATGCATGCCAGTCCCTCTTGGCTAAGAGTTGAGGAAAGACTGATTGCGTCACTTTTTGTTTTTATAAGAAACATTAATCTGTTGGAAATTCCAAATTGTTTGCATTGTCAACTTACACACAGCACTGACACACACACTTACCCCACTAGACATGCCACCAGGGGTCCTTTCACAGTCCCCAGGTCCAGAACAAATTCAAGGAAACGTACAGTATTATACAGAGCCATGAGTGCATGGAATTCCCTTCCATCTTATATAGCGCAGTTGAACAGCAAACCTGGCTTAAAAAACAAATAAAGAAACACCTCAAGGCACAACGCCTCTCCCCCATGTGACCTATAACTGTTATATGCACACACACACTACATGTTAATGTTTTTAAATGTATGTAAATTGTAAAGTATTTTGTCTGTAATTAATTTTTCTTTATATGTCGGGCCCCAGTAAGACTAGCTGTCGCCATTGGCGTCAGCTAATGGGGATCCTAATAAATCAAATCAAATGTCAGTATACAGTACAACAAGTTCTTGCTCAACGTATGTATAGCCTTTAATCATATATCATTGGAAAGCTTAGATTCACAGCTATACATCAGACACATTATTGGAATGTTCAGGTCAACAGAACCTTGACCTTTGACCTCTAGGGTACCATGATACCTTTGATCTCTAGGGGTGGCAGGTAGCCTAGCGGTTGGGCCAGTAACCGAAAGGTCACTGGTTAGAATCCCCAAGCCGACTATGTGAAAATTCTGTCTGTGCCAATGAGCAAGGCACTTAAGATAAGAGCGTCTGCTAAATGACTAAAAATGTAAGTGATGCTACCATGACTACGGATAATCCTGAATGAATTGTGAATATTTATGAGTCAGGTAGTTACAGAGGGTCAAAGATCATACCTCCAAGACATGCTAACCTCTCATCCTTACCAATAACAGGGGAGGTTACCTGTATGAAATATAATTGTTGTATGCCGAATAATATCTTAACATTTTCATAGTGATGTAGAATACACAACCAAATGAGCCAGGTGTGCCAGATATAAAGATGTTACATTATTTACAGTATTTACAACTGTGATAAGAATGTGCCCAAAAAGCTGTCTGAATCGCAGATTTCTGAAGATGTCATGATCAATAATTGCAATATTTAATCTTCAAACATGTCAAATGGATGTGTACAAGTGAATAGTCATGGATGTGAGCTGATTAAAATTATTTACAATGTTATCCTATTAACTCTTTTCATAAAATGCCAATACATTTTAACCTAATATCTTGATGATGAGAGCAGCAAACCATTACACATAGTTAGACTTAATTAAGGTGTATTCTTACTATGGGGCCATAGCAGATTGGTCTGTTACTAGAATATAAGTAATATAATTGGCCTCAACAGGCCCAACATTGGATTTTTACTACATTGTAATGGAATGTACGGGGCAGGTTTATAGTCCTCATAATGAAAACAGTTAAAGGATAACATTGTTTATAATTTTAATCAGTCCACATCCATGACTATTTACATGTATAAATCCATTTCACATGTTTGAAGATTAAGTATTGGCAATTACGGATTGAAACATATACAGAAATGAGCGATTCTGACAGCTTTTTGGGCACATTCTTACTACAGTTCTGTGAATAATTTAACATATTTACATACACATACATCACTATGAACATTTTAAGATATTATTGGGCATGCTACAATTATATTTCATACAGGTATGGTCATGCGAAATTGATCCAATAAGACCCCATTGAGTTGTTTGGCAGCCATATTGGAAAAAGGCTTCTGTGGGGTTAATATGTGAATCCTGTGATGGCCCTGTTTCTACAAATCTTTTTCTGGCTGTGTGTGTGAAATGTTGTGCCTCTATCACCAAAGTTACAATCCAAAAACATAGCTGCCCCACTACATGAATTTCGATAGCTAATCTTCCAACATTCTAATGTCAAAGGGCTATTTTAAACAATAGTTGTAGCTGATAGCAAAGTTGGTTATATTATATATCATTTGAAAGGTAATTTTATGACATTTCAGAACCACTTGTAAAACAAAGATTCAAATGTATCAAGGTTTCCTTTTTTAAACAATTTATACAGGTAATTCTGATATGTACCCTAGAGGTCAAAGGTCAAGGTTATGTTGACCTGAACATTCCAAAAATGTGTCTGATGGATAGCTGTGAATCTAAGCTTTCCAATGATATACTGTATGATTAAAAGGTATACGTGAGCAATAACTTGTTCAAAGGAGGCTGGTGGGAGAATCTATAGGAGGACATGCTCATTGTAATGGCAGGAATGGATTAATGGAAACAAACACATCAAACATATGGAAACCACATGTTTGACTCTGTTCCATATATTCCATTCCAGCCATTACAATGAGCCTGTCCTCCTAGTGCTCCTCCCACCAGCCTCCTCTGATTGTGTTGTATACTGACATTGTTTGTCATAGGGTAAAATCCCTATGGGAAGACTGAATGGGATGGAAGGATGAAAGAAAGAGTGATAACACAGAAAGCTACCATTGCTGCACTGCTATAATACATTGTCCAACTCTAGGGACGTAGACCTTCAAGAAAATCCCTATGAAACATCGTCGGTCCAAGTGAGCCGGACCAAACCCCCTGGCTCATGGACTAGAGATGATTGGAAGAAGAAGAATTCTGTATTGTGGTCAGTAGGTCATCATCTACCAGCTACAGGCTGTACCTTAAACAAACTGTTAAAATAAAGTACAGATGTGTTTGTTTACAAAGTTTGTCCTTAAAAAATTTAAGTAAGCCTTATCTGCTAACCACAGATACCTTGCTGTGACTATTACATTTAAAGGCCGTAATTTCATTGTTTCAATTTTGCATATTCATCTAATGACACACATCTTTACAGTGTTCTCTGTAGTTTGAACTCTCTGCTGCCATCGGTTGCTCTGCTCATCCCTGTGGAACACACAATACAGAGTGTCATTATTGCTCTGGGCTCTGGGATTCTATCGCCTTGCTGTGTCATGACGGATGGCAACTTTAAATCTGATTGTGTTGGAAATGAGATGATGGTAACTGAAGTCATGTGATGTGAATTAAACTGTTGCAGATGTTGTGTCCCCTAGCAGTATGGTCATAAATGGAAGAAACATTTTGGAGCTTGTTTGTCAATCCGTCAATCTGTCAGTGTTTTTGTGCCTGATCTTAATAGCAGTACATGTGACAGCAGCATGAGAAGCCATGGAGTCCAGTAAAAGTTGTTTAAAATAGGTGGCTCATAGAGGCTTATCACAATCTTTGGGCATCAAGGACTATTGTCACTTAAAATGTCCAAGTAAATGAACTAAAACAATACTGTGATATGGATCTGCATAATTATTGAAAACAATTACATGAACTAATAATCAAACTCATTAATTGATATTCAAACTCATAAATAAATATTCAAATTCATTTATCAATATTCAGCATTAACTTTACTGAGAATTAAATGTGATAGACACTGATAAGCCTATTTGAGAGACATTTCCACAAAATAATAAACAGCTACAATTTCCCACTACATGTCATTCTCAAATGCATAGCCTATCATATTGTCTCCAAAAACCCACAAAGATACTTCACAGAAGCCTGCTGTAGAGGCATCTTCCAGAAATTATTAAGAATTTATTAAGAATTTTGCAGGAAAATTGCAGTAAAGTATTAGGCAAACAATGTGAATTAATTATGCCTTTAATAACTTTGATCCCTTGCACATCTCTGGCACTAGTCCAACACAAGATTTGCGCGCCTACCTTATATCCATTCTTGATGATTGATGCGCATTGGACACACTTGCCCAATTTCTTGTTTCTTCAGATTATTTTCAACTCTGTTATTCACCTTGAATACTGTGTAGCTAAGGATTGTTTCTGTTGTCTAAGAGAATTCACAGTCTCGCGAACCAGCAATGAGGCTATGATGCGCCTTCACAGCCTCTTCAACGCAGTCCTTGCTCTAAGTACCGCGCGCTTTCATCATGGCTCATGTCTCCACCTTGCGTTGAACCGCTGCTTAAGCGCTGTCATTCACATAGCCTAGGCTACTACTGTTCTTCCATCTGTTAGTTGCATTTAACTGGACGCAAATCGGTTATTTATGGCGTTTTGTCAATCATTAACCCCTGGAATCTTAAAATATGCCGTTCTTCATGCATGAATACAGACTCCTATAATTCAGCCAGTCATCAAGGCCTACAATTATTTTTTACTCAACCATGGAGCCTTTCTTACAGGGTTCTGTTATTCTGATGGTAATCTCTAGCCTGTAGCCTACAATTTACATTATTCCCTAATTTACCACAGTAGGTCTAGGCTTGTCAAAATGACCTAAAAACTGCACTTCACCTTCACAAGTCCATCACCTATGGGACAGCACCATCCCACTCCTGACACCAATGTAGGCTAAACCCAATATTAAAATAGGATATAGAAAGATAACCCATATGAACAAATAGGTCAAAAATATACACCACCATAAACAGTGAGTGTTTTTTTTATTAAAGTCATGCTTCCTATTGAGCGCACGGTGGCGCCAAAGCACAATTATATTGCCGGTTGTGGCAAAGCTGACAGTGTCGTCTGTTGATGACGTCAATGCAATGGCCGCTCTCACTGTATCGTGTAGGATTTTTTTTATTTCCTCCAGCATAGCAGATAAATAACCATAACATTATTTATTGTAGAGCCTCAGACATAGAGGGAGAGAGACGGGGTAGTTCTTAACGCCGCCTGTCTTCAACGAGGTTCAGGTTGGAAAGGTGACTGAAAATATTTAAAGTTTATCTAGCTACTGGTGTTTGTAGGGGGAGGGCTTCATTGTTAATTGAACAGACAAGACAAGCATGCTTCGATAGCAGACCAGAAAGCGGTATTTTGCGTGTATAAAGTTGCTTTTGAGTTGTATTGGTTGGTTGAACCTTTGTTTAAGCTAATTGTGGCATCTTCTGAATACAAATCAGACGTTCGCCTCTTGTCTGGTATAGCCCTCGCAGTTTTCGGGCCTGCTTCACCCGGTAACTAGCTAATGTTAGCATTGTAGCAAACTAACGAGCCATCTTTATCGTCCTACAGCGCTGAAGTTGCCTCTTGATTTGCTTATCTGGCTACCTACGACATTGTTCTACTGTAAACTGAGTCCCCCACTTTTAATATGAAAGTATTGTGTTAAAGGCAGCTATGATCACGTTCGCTAACTTGCTAGTTAGTATGTAATAATCTCTGACTGACTGTTATTGACCTGCATGAAGTTTACTCTTCTTGAGATATGGCGGATGCCCTCGCTACATGCATGTCTCTTATTACGAACTTCATTTAGCAGTATGCAATCAGACAACTAACTAAAGTTAGCACTCTTTGACGTCTTCTATCGAGAAATGGATAGCAGGCAGTAGTCAAATGACACCCGATAATGATCTTTTCAATCAAATCACATTTTATTGGTCGCATACACATATATGGAACAAAAATGTAAACGCAACAATTAACGATTTTACTGAGTTATAGTTCATAAATTCATTAGGCCCTAATCTATGGATTTCACATGACTGGGCAGGGGCACAGCCATGGTTGGGCTTGGGAGGGCATAGGCCCACCCACTTGGGAGCTAGTCCCTTAAATCAGAATGAGTTTATCCTCACAAAAGGGCTTAATTACAAACATAAATATTCCTCCGTTTCATCAGCTGTCCGGGTGGTTGGTCTCAGACAATCCCACAGGTAAAGAAGCTAGATGTGGAGGTCCTGGGCTGGCGTGGTTACATGTGGTCTGCGGTTGTGAGGCCGGTTGGACGTACTGCCCAATTCTCTAAAATGATGTTGGAGGAGTCTTATGGTAGAGAAATTATCATTCAATTCTCTGGCAAAAGCTCTGGTGGACATTCCTGCAGTCAGCATGCCAATTGCACGCTCCCTCAAAACTTGAGACATCTTTGGCATTGTGTTGTGTGACAAAACTGCACATTTTAGAGTGGTCTTTTATTGTCCCCAGCACAAGGTGCACCTGTTTAATGATCATGCTGTTTAATCAGCTTCTTGATACGCCACATCCGTCAGGCGGATGGATTATCTTGGCAAAGGAGAAATGCTCACTAACAGGGATGTAAACAAATTTGTGTGCAAAATTTGAGAGAAATATGGAACATTTCTGGGATCTTTTATTGCAGCTCATGAAATATGGGACCAACACTTTACATTTTGCATTTATATTTTTGCTCAGTATATTTATCAGATCTTATTGCGGGTGTATCGAAATGTTTGTGTTCCTAGCTACAACAGTGCAGTAATATCTATAAATACACAACAATACACACTCGTCTAAAAAGTAAAATAATGGAATTTAGAAATATTAGGACACGCAATGTCAGAGTCCGGAGTACGTGTGTTGATGGGATGTATAGACATTATGTATAGTATATGCATAGAAAATGTAGTGTATCTGAAGAATAGTATATATACAGCAGTAGTTATACAGTGCATTCGGAAAGTATTCAGACCACTTCCCATTTTCCACATTTTGTTACGTTACAGCCTTATTCTAAAATGGATTTTAAAAAAGTAATCCTCATCACTCTACACACAATACCCCATAATGACAAAGCGAAAACAGGTTTTTAGAAATGTTTGCTAATTTATAATAATAAAAAAACATATTTACATAAGTATTCAGACCCTTTGCTATGAGACTTGAAATTGAGCTCAGTTGCATCCTGTTTCCATTGATCATCCTTGAGATGTTTAATCAATTGATTGGACATGATTTGGAAAGGCACACACCTGTCTATATAAAGACGGTGCATGTCAGAGCAAAAACCAAGCCATGAGGTCGACGGAATTGTCCGTAGAGCTACGTAACAGGATTGTGTCGAGGCACAGACCTGGGGAAGGGTACCAAAAAAATTCTGCACCATTGAAGGTCCCCAATAACACAGTGGCCTCCATCATTCTTAAATGGAAGACGTTTGGAACCACCCAGACTCTTCCTAGAGCTGGCTGCCCGGCTAAACGAAGCAATTGGGGGATAAGGGCCTTGGTCAGGGAGGTGACCAAGAACCTGATGGTCACTCTGACAGAGCTCCAGAGGTCCTCTGTGGAGATGGAAGAACCTTCCAGAAGGACAACCATCTCTGCAGCACTCCACCAATCAGGCCTTTATGGTAGAGTGGCAAGGCAGAAGCCACTCCTCAGTAAAAGGCACATGACAGCCCGCTTGGAGGACTCTCAGACCTTGAGAAACAACATTATTTGGTCTGATGAAACCAAGATTGAACTCTTTGGCCTGAATGCCAAGCGTCACGTCTGGAAGAAACCGGGCAACATCCCTACGGTGAAGCATGGTGGTGGCAGCATCATGCTGTGGGGATGTTTTGCAGGGAATGGGAGACTAGTCGGGATCGAGGGAAAGATGAACCAAGGAAAGTACAGCTCCAGAGCGCTCAGACTGGGGCGACGGTTCACCTTCCAACAGGACAACGACCCTAAGCACCCAGCCAAGACAACGCAGGAGTGGCTTCGGGACATGTCTCTGAATGTCCTTGAGTGGCCCAGCCAGAGCCCAGACTTGAACCCAATCGAACATCTCTGGAGAGACCTGAAAATAGCTGTGCAGCGACGCTCCCCATCCAACCTGACAGGGCTTGAGAAGATCTACAGAGAAGAATGGGAGAAACTCCCCAAATACAGGTGTGCCAAGCTTGTAGCGTCATACCCAAGAAGACTCGAGGCTGTAATCGCTGCCAAAGGTGCTTCAACAAAGTACTGAGTAAAAAGTCTGAATACTTATGTAAATGTGATATTTCAGTATAATAAAAAAAGATTGTTTAGCAAAAATTTATAAAAAACAGTTTTTGCGTTGTCATTATGGGGTATTGTGTGTAGATTGATGAGGGAAAGAAAACAATTTAATCCATTTTAGAATAAGGCTGTAACGTAACAAAGTGGAAGAAGTCAAGGGGTCTGCATACTTTCCGAATGCACTGTATAGGATAGGCCTTGACTAGAATACAGTATATACATCTAATTTTATTGGTCGCATACACATATTTAGCAGATGTTATTGCAGGTGTAGCGAAATGCTTGTGTTCCTAGCTCCAACAGTGCAGGAGTATCTAACAATTCACAACAATACACACGAATCTAAAAGTAAAAGAATGGAATTAAGAAATATATAAATATTAAGTAGAGCAATGTCAGAGTGACATTGACTAAAATACAGTAGAATATAATACAGTATATACAGTTGAAGTCGGACGTTTACATACACTTAGGTTGGAGTCCATTAAAACTCGTTTTTCAACCACTCCACAAATTTCTTGTTAACAAACTATAGTTTTTGTAAGTCGGTTAGGACATCTACTTTGTGCATGACACAAGTAATTTTTCCAACAATTGTTTACATACATATGTCATGGCTATATCCACAGTAAAACGAGTCCTATATCGACATAACCTGAAAGGCCGTTCAGCAAGGAAGAAGCCACTGCTCCAAAACCGCCATAAAAAAGCCAGACTACGGTTTGCAACTGCACATGGGGACAAAGATCGTACATTTTGGAGAAATGTTCTCTGGTCTAATGAAACAAAAATATAACTGTTTGACCATCGTTATGTTTGGAGGAAAAAGGGGGTTACTTGCAAGCCGAATAATACCATCCCAACCGTGAAACACGGGGGTGGCAGCATCATGCTGTGGGGGTGCTTTGCTGCAGGAGGGACTGGTGCACTTCACAAAATAGATGGCATCACGAGGAAGGAAAATTATGTGGATATATTGAAGCAACATCTCAAGACATCAGTCAGGAAGTTAAAGCTTGGTCGTAAATGGGTCTTCCAAATGGACAATGACCACAAGTATACTTCCAAAGTTGTAGCAAAATGGCTTAAGGACAACAAAGTCAAGGTATTGGAGTGGCCTTCACAAAGCCCTAAACTCAATCCTATAGAAAATTTGTGGGCAGAACTGAAAAAGCGTGTGCGAGCAAGGATGCCTACAAACCTGATTCAGTTACACCAGCTCTATCAGGGGGAATGGGCCAAAATTCACCCAACTTATTGTGGGAAGCTTATGGAAGGCTACCCGAAACGTTTGACCCAAGTTAAACAATTTATAGGCAATGCTACCAAATACTAATTGAGTGTATGTAAACTTCTGACCCACTGGGAATGTGATGAAAGAAATAAAAGCTGAAATAAATCACTCTACTATTATTCTCACATTTCACATTCTTAAAATAAAGTGGTGATCCTAACTGACCTAAAACAGGGACTTTTTACTAGGATTAAATATCAGGAATTGTGAAAAACTGAGTTTAAATGTATTTGGCTAAGGTGTATGTAAACTTCTGACTTTAACTGTACATATGAAAGGAGTAAAGCAGTATGTGAACATTATTAAAGTAACTAGTGTTCCATTATTCAAGTGACCAGTGATTCCATGTCTATGTACATAGGGCAGCAGCCTCCAAGGTGCAGGGTTGAGTAACTGTGTGGAAGCCGGCTAGTGATGGCTATTTAACAGTCTGATGGCTTTGAGATAGAAGCTGTTTTTCAGTCTCTCGGTCCCAGTTTTGATGCACCTGTACTGACCTCGCCTTCTGGATGATAGCGGGGTGAACAGGCTGTGGTTGATGTCTTTGATGATCTTTTTGGCCTTCCTGTGACATCGGGTGCTGTAGGTGTCCTGGAGGGCAGGCAGTGTGCCCCTGGTGATGCGTTGGGAAGACCGCACCACCCTCTGGAGAGCCCTGAGGCTGCGAGCGGTGCAGTTGCCGTACCAGGCAGTGATACAGCCCAACAGGATGCTCTCAATTGTGCATCTGTAAAAGTTTGTAAGGGTCTTAGGGGCCAAGCCAAATTCACCACACTGTCTGTGTGGGTGGACCATTTCATATTGTCAGTGATGTGTACGTCAAGGAACTTGAAGCTTTTCACCTTCTGCACTGTGGTCCCGTTGATGTGGATAGGGGCGTGCTCCCTCTGCTGTTTCCTGAAGTCCACGATCAGCTCCTTCGTTTTGTCGAGGGAGAGTTATTTTCCTGGCACCACTCCGCCAGGGTCCTCACCTCCTCCCTGTAGGCTGTCTCGTCATTGTTGGTAATCAGGCCTACTACTGTTGTGTCGTCTGCAAACTTGATGATTGAGTTGGAGGCGTGCATGGCCACGCAGTCAGGGGTGAACAGGGAGTACAGGAGGGGGCTGAGCACGCACCCTTGTGGGGCCCCTGTGTTGAGGATCAGCGAAGTGGAGGTATTGTTTCCTACCTTCACCACCTGGGGCCTCCCCGTCAGGAAGTCCAGGACCCAGTTGCACAGGGCGGGGTTCAGACCCAGGGCCTCGAGCTTAATGATGAGCTTGGAGGGTACTATGGTGTTGAAGGCTGAGCTATAGTCAATGAACAGCATTCTTACATAGGTGTTCCTCTTGTCCAGATGGGATAGGGCAGTGCGATGGCGATTGCATCGTCTGTGGATCTATTGGGGCGGTATGCAAACTGAAGTGGGTCTAGGGTGTCAGGTAAGGTAGAGGTAATATGATCCTTAACTAGCCTCTCAAAACCCTTCATGTTGACAGAAGTTAATGCCACGGGGTGATAGTCATTTATTTCAGTTACCTTTGCTTTCTTGGGTACAGGAACAATGGTGGACATCTTGAAGAAAGTTGGCACAGCAGACTGGGATAGGGAGAGATTGAATATGTCCGTAAACACTCCAGCCAGCTGGTCTGCGCATGCTCTGAGGATGCGGCTCGGGATGCCATTTGGGCCAGCAGCATTGCAAGGGTTAACACGCTTAAATGTCTTACCCACGTCGGACACGGTGAACGAGAGCCCACAGTCCTTGGGAGCGGGCGACGTCGGTGGCACTGTGTTATCGTCAAAGCGGGTGAAGAAGGTGTTTAGCTTGTCCGGGAGCAAGACGTTGGTGTCCGCAACGTGGCTGGTTTTCCCTTTGTAATCCGTGATTGTCTGGAGTCCCTGCCACATACGTCTGTTATCTGAGCCGTTGAATTGCTACTCCACTTTGTCTCTGTACTGACGTTTTTCCTGTTTTATTGCCTTACGAAGGGCATGACTGTTTGTAATCAACCATATTCCAAGTCACCTTGCCATGGTTAAATGCGGTGGTCCGCGCTTTGTTTATTTTGGCAGTTACCTGTATATTGCCTAGAGACATTGTCTTTGTGTATTAAACCAATTTAATCTAATTTAATAACAGACAATTCTATGTTTTAGTGGATCATTCCCCAATGGACACCCCTGAGAGCCCCACCCAGTCCCCTGAGAGCCCCACCCAGTCACCCCAGTCCCCAGAGGAAGAGAAGGGCATTTCTGACAGCGAGTTCCTGGCATCCCCCGAGGAGGAGGACAGGCTGCTCTCTGACAGTGAGCTGCTGAATGATGAAGACAACGGCGGGTTAGATGAAGAGGGTGGTGAAGGTGGGGACTCTGAGCTGGATGATGACGAAGATGAGGGGGTAGTTCAGGAGTGTATCTCTGACCCAGAGGATGATGAGGTAGATGGGGAAGGTAGAAGGGATACTATTCTAGAACAGGAGCAGGAAGAGTCCGTGGGGATGGTGATGATGGGACAGGAACGACAGGTAAGCCAATCAGATGAGGAGGAGGACCGGGTCAGTCAAACTCCTAAGTCCCCTGATTCTGAGCCAGAGCAGGAGAGGTCATCCCCCTTAGCTGAGGAGGAGATGTCCAGACATGAGAATGAAGACGAGGGAGGGGAACTGTCTGTGAAGCTGGCAGAAGTAGATGATGAAGAGGAGGAAGAGAGACGGAGGAGGAGGAGAGTGGTGGTGAATGAGATGAAGGAGGAGTTGTCGTCTGTGTCCAGAGAGCTTGATGAGCATGAGTTGGACTATGACGAGGAGGTTCCTGAGGAGCCCAATGTTCTAGCGCCTGATGAAGATGACGAGGTGGAGAAAGGACCCGGAGAAGAGGATGAGAAAGAGGACAAGAGCATCAAAAAGAAAGAGAAGATACCAATCCTTCCTCCATCCCCGAAAGACGGTCCACCTAAGAAGCCTGAAGAGTCCAGGGCTCAGGACAGAGGAAGGAGAGATTCCTTTCGTGACAAAAAGGACGAGGATGATGGCGAGATTGATGAGGGTGAAATAGATGTAAGTAATGTAAATGTAATTTATATGCTCTCTTCAATCTGCATTGTAATTGTAATCAAGAGTGATTTGTTGGAGGATGCAGGGCTACTCACACTCTGAGATGTGGAGGGAAGCAAAACAGGGGAACAGATCAAGTACAGGACTGCAAAGTCAGAACTGGGGCTGTTGCGGTGATCGTATTACCGTCACACCGGCAGTCATGAGTCATGACTGCAGTCAAATTTCACGTGACTGTTGAGTCACGGTAATCTCCTATGCACTCTGTACATGAATGGCACCGATGCGTTGGGAGTACCCAACTCCCTAACGACCGTCAGGTCGCCAATGGCCTGGTACGCAGTGCGCTATTGTCCCTCTAATCCATCGTTTCCCAAACTCGGTCCTAGGGACCCCAAGGGGTGCACATTTTGGTTGATGATTTGTTGATTATTTGAATCAGCTGTGTAGTGCTAGGGCAAAAAACAAAACGTGCACCCCTTGGGGTTCCGAGGACCGAATTTGAGGAACCCTGCACTAATCTCTCTGACATCAATGCAAATGCAATCATAAATCACATCAAACACTTATCATCAAAACAGTATCATGCTTTTAAAACTCACCGTTAGGATACATTGTTTGACATCACTCACTGTGATTGATCAATTTGAAGAAAAAAGTTCAAAAACAAGTTGAAACTGAGTGAAAAGCCAAACACAAGGAAATGGACAGCATTTGACGTCGCATGTTGAACACCCATACACATATTAGAGCTTATGCATACGCAGAGGCCTTTATATGATCATCCCAAGCCTGAAATAAAGCCTGAATTAATATAATGATTGTGCCATTATACAATACATAGCCTAATAGCCTACCGCATATTCTTTGGTACATAGGCTAATTGGTCTAGCCTATACTTCAAAATTAAACATACTCTAGTAATCATCTTTGAGCGTGGACTGTATTATTATGCGTACTGGATGGACTGGTTACCGTATGCTACGCTCCAAACTTTCTATTCATGATTCTGGGAGAGAACGGATAGGACTAGGCAATGCTGTTGGTTCATTGATTGTGCAGGGCGGCTACAGAGTAGGCTAGTTAGCCTACAATTATAGTGAATTTTGAATAGCCTAGTAATAGGGATTATATTTATTTTCATAATTAATAGGCTGACACGTTTAACTTTAGCTACATGATATCTCACCACCATGTGTTTCCATCTCCTCCTCTCTCTCTCCTTCATTCCTTTTTCGAGCGCATAGTGAGAAATATGTTTAATTGTGTAAACATGTTACTATCTGTGTTCCTGAACAGATTTCACTTGATTTCCCAAATTAAGCACTGGGTAGCTGCGGGAAGAGGGTTGGAGAGCACTTGACATACAGAGTTTGTGTAGAATATCACCTGCTCCTCAAACAGCCCAGACATTTCTATATGCAATCCACAGGAGGTTGGTGACACCATAAATTGGGAGAACTGGCTCGTGGTAATGACTGGCGCGGAATCAGTCGAATGGTATCAAATTCCATTTGCTCCGTTCCGGACATTATTATGAGCCGTTCTCCCCTCAGCAGCCTCTAATGATGCAATACTGTGTAAAAGCAGAGTTTTGATGATTGCCACTAAAAAGAGGATTCCAGCTTTCTACTGCTACTATATTTATTTTTCAGCTGCTAATATTAAGCACATTGCTCCGCTGTAAAACCAAAGTAGCCTACCTGGCATGATTTGAAAAAGGAAATGCAGTAAAACGCAGCCTCCATGTGCTATTCGAGTACATACGGATTACGTCATTCTAAATCGAAACTCATTTCACATATTATTAAAGACAAGATTATATTGAGAATAATCTGATGGGTGAGAATATTATCACTTGATGAGAGAACAGTGTGTGCAGCCTGAGGCAAGGAACAGAGCGCAAGCTTTTTTTGTGACTTTCTCAAATCATCAATATAGTCACATCATGCAGCCCTTATATGTTTGGATTTCTAAGACATTCTAAGGTTTGTATCATTCACAGCTAAAGTTGCAAAAAATATATACTTTTTAAAGGCGCCCATCAGTGGCTTGTATGCGTTAAGGCCTGGAGATGCTAAACGTGTTTATGGTAATTAATGGTAAATTACAGTGAGACTGGCAGTCATTTGCATGACAGTTACCGGCTGACAAAATGTCATGACCGCCACAGCCCTAGTCAGAACCATGTAGCAATACAAATAACCTGCTTTGCAACACAAATTGCACCCTGTCCCAGTGACTTGGGGTTACAGCAGTGTCATAAGGTTACTTCAGTGATGCACATGGGTAAGTGGGTTGATATTTAGCCAGAGTTCTGTTCCATTTGTGCAGGATGATGACCTGGAGGAGGGAGAGGTGAAGGACCCCATGGACAGGAAGGTCAGACCCAGGCCCATCTGCAGGTTCTTCATGAAAGGTACCTCAACGTACTCTCCTGTGCACCACTCGCGTGTACAACACCTGTCTTATGACGAAACTACACTGTGCAAACATTGCGTGTGCAACTTGAGCATTCCATTCTACACCAGAGACGTATCATGAAGGTAAAACTGAAGGTAAAAACGTGAGCCACTTTATCAGCAACACAAGCCTTGCGTTTTGTTGCTTCACTGATGTTCTGCTTCTGTGGCCTGTGTAGCGTTTCTCTTCAATGTAATGGTCCTTTTGAAGCAGTGATATTGAAGACACTGGTTTCAGACAGCAGGGGGACGCATTGTACTTCATAACTTAAATGAAGATAATGTGGTAATGGATATTATTAGGAGCTAAACAACATACAGCGCTGATGGATGTCAATTTACACCTAACCACAATTTACTTCAAAGTATTTGAATTCAATGAAAATATGCTTTTTCCCATTCCCATGTATCTAATCTCAAAATGATACCAACAGCTCTGTTTTTATTTTCCAGGTAACTGCACATGGGGTATGAATTGTAGGTTCATCCATCCAGGTGTCAACGACAAGGGCAACTACTCTCTCATCTCCAAGCCAGACCCCTTCTCTCCCAACGGGGTACCACCTGGAGCACCCCACCCTCTCATTCCTGGAAGTAACCCCTGGGTATGCACCACCCATAGCCTGCTGCATGGCTGTATTTGGACCTGAAGAGTGTGTGTGTGTTAGTTACTGCATTGGGTAAATGCATTGTGTTTACATTTGTTTCCCTGTCTCAGGGTGGACCTGCTGTTGAGGAGCTCCCTCCACCCCCTCCTCCAGTGGAGCCTCCTGTGGAGAGTGCCTGGGAGAGGGGTCTGAGACATGCCAAAGAGGTACAACACACTCTCAGCTCTCACAAGCATACATGTACTCCTCTTCTGTACAGGTTATGTTTCAGCACCAACTGATTTCGAGTCAGGTGATTTTTTTTATTTGCATGTTTTCTGAGAGGTTCCCCTGCTACATTTGGCTTGTGAAGCCTCTTTATAATAATACAAGTGTGCGTGTGTGTTTTAGCCTCTATGGGGTTGTTCAGTCAGCAGGTTATGATGAATTCCCAGACTTTCCTCATGTAAATGTTGCCCTATTCCTTTAGGTTTTGAAAAAAGCAACCATACGCAAAGAGCAGGAGCCAGACTTTGAGGAGAAGCGCTTTAATGTGACCATTGGAGAGGATGAGAGAGACTTTGACAAAGAGAACGATTTCTTTAGGGAACGCAGCTACCACATCACCAGAGAAATCAGAGACCCAGGGTAAGCTCAGGAGCTATGGTCAAAAGAGAGACATAACGTCAGGGCAAAGTATCTTGCCATGGTGGATGTTTTAAATAATGTTTTTAGACTACGTGTCTGTTTTAAAACATTTCTGGCCTTTTCTTCCCCCGTAGTGACGTGGAGTTCAGAGACCCAGTCTATCTGTAAGTACAATGGAGGGGAGGTAGCGGCATCCTCTTTTCATGCAGCTCTTATCTCTACGTTCACTTCACCAAACAACCCGGCATCAACCACATATGGCCCTCTCATCCCAAAACCTTTTTTCCCTGCTTGATTATCAGCTGCTGCTCTGCTGTGAGAAAACAGCTGGTCAGTTATAATGATCAGGCCACTCCACTAGGCCTTATGGTGCATTTGTCACTACATGTCTAATAATTGGTTTGTTCAAATAAAAGAAACCCTAAATTATATAGAGGGTGTATATAGCTGCACAGCAATATGAAACAAAGCTCTTCTTTTCTATTTATCTCTATCATACGATTTGTCCTCGTTTCAGTAACGACCCTTATGCTGATCCCTACTATGACTATGAGATGGAGGCCTTCTGGAGAGGGGGACAGTATGAGAACTTCAGAGTGCAGTACACAGAGACCCCTCTGCCCTACCACTACAGTGTAAGTACACTCAGAGAGATATCCACCACCCAAGGACTACACACCTTTCAAACACAAATACACAATCGATATTAACTTTATTTCAGATTTGAGTTTTACTTGTAGGCCTTTTGGTTAAAGAGAATCTTGAATGCGCCATTGAAGCATAAAGCAGGTTGAGCCTTGCTGGAGGGCTATGACAGTGTGTTTACAAACCCACCTGTATGAATGTTAGGAGCGTGAACGTGAGCGGGACCCACGAGAGCACCATCGTGACCGCGAGCGGGACCACCGCGAGCGAGAACGCCGGCAGAGAGAACGCGAGAGGGAAAGAGAGAGGGAGCGAGAGAAGGAGAGGATGCGCAGAAAGGAGGAGTGGGAGAGGGATCGCATGAAGCGTGATGAGAAGGAGAGGCCCATCAGGGAGCGGCCTCCACGGGAACCTCGGGAGAAGGAAGGGGAGGACAAGCAGCCGAAAGGTCCCCCCAGGTCCCCCACCGGTACCAACATGCCCCCCAAGTGAGTAGCATGTCCTTTATTACAGGTGTCATGTCCTCTAGACCAGGGTTTCCCAAACTTGGTCCTGGAGCCCCCCCTGGGTGCACGTTTTGGTTTTTGTCCTAGCACTACACACTACGAAGAGTGTGCAAAGCTGTCATCAAGGCAAAGGGTGGCTTCCTTGAAGAATATAAAATATGTTTTGATTTGTTTAACACTTTTTTGGGTACTACATGATTCCATATGTGTTATTTCATAGTTGTGAATTCTTCACTATTATTCTACAATGTAGAAAATAGTAAAAATAAAGAAACTCTGGAATGAGTAGGTGTGTCCAAACTTTTGACTGGTACTGTGTGTATATATATATATATATATACAGTATATACAGTGTATATATATATATATATATATACATACAGTGCCTTTGGAAAGTATTCAGACCCCTTGATTTTTTCCACATTTTGTTACATTACAGCCTTATTCTAAAATTGATTAAAATTAAACAAATCCTCAGCAATCTACACACAATACCCCATAATGACAAAGCGAATTTTTGCAAATGCATAATAAAAAATTAAAACGTATTTACATTATTATTCAGACCCTTTGCTATGAGACTCGAAATTGAGCTCCGGTGCATCCTGTTTCCATTAATCATCCTTAAGATGTTTTTACAACTTGATTGGAGTCCACCTGTGGTAAATTAAATTGATTGGACACGATTTGGAAAGGCACGCCTGTCTATATAAAGGTCCCACAGTTGACAGTGCATGTTAGAGCAAAACCAAGCCATGAGGTCGAAGGAATTGTCCGTAGTGACAGGATTGTGTCGAGGCACAGATCTGGGGAAGGGTACCAAAAAATGTCTGAAGCATTGAAGGTCCAGAAGAACACAGTGGCCTTCATCATTCTTAAATGGAAGAAGTTTGGAACCACCAAGACTCTTCCTAAAGCTGGCCGCCTGGCCAAACTGAGAAATCGGGGGAGAAGGGCCTTGGTCAGGGAGGTGACCAAGAACCCGATGGTCACTCTGACAGAGTTCCTCTGTGGAGATGGAAGAACCTTCCAGAAGGACAACTAGCACTCCACCAGTCAGCACTCCACCGATCAGGCCTTTGTGGTAGAGTGGCCAGACGGAAGCCACTCCTCAGTAAAAGGCACATGACAGTCCGCTTGGAGTTTGCCAAAAGGCACCTAAAGGACTCTCAGACCACGAGAAACAAGATTCCCTGAATGCTAAGCATCACGTTTGGAGGAAACCTGGCACCATCCCTACGGTGAAACATTGTGATTGCAGCATCATGCTGTGGGGATGTTTTTCAGCGGCAGGGACTGGGAGACTAGTCAGGATCGAGGGAAAGATGAAAGGAGCAAAGTACAGAGAGATCCTTGATGAAAGAACCTCAGACTGGGGTGAAGGACAATGACCCTAAGCACACAGCCAAGACGATGCAGGAGTGACTTTGGGGCAAGTCTCTGAATGTCCTTGAGTGGCCCAGCCAGAGCCTGGACTTGAACCCGATCAAACATCTCTGGAGAGACCTGAAAATAGCTGTGCAGTGACACTCCCCATCCAACCTGAGAGAGCTTGAGAGGATCTGCAGAGAAGAATGGGAGAAACTCCCCAAATACAGGTGTGCCAAGCTTGTAGCGTCATACCCAAGAAGACTCAAGGCTGTAATTGCTGCTACAGGTGCTTCAACAAAGTACTGAGTAAAGGGTATGAATACTTATATAAATGTCATATTTCAGTTTATTTTTAATAGATTTGCAAAAATGTCTAAAAACCTGTGTTTGCTTTGTCATTATGGGGTATTGTGTGTGGAATGATGAGGAAATAACTATTTAATCCATTTTAGAATAAGGCTATAACTTAACAAAATGTGGAAAAAGTGAAGGTCTGAATACTTTCCGAATGCACTGTATATTAGGATGAGTTGTCGAGAATACAGTATATACATATACAGTGAGTAAACAACAGTATATAAACAGAATATGAGGTGACCAGGATTCAATGACTATATATACAGTTGAAGTCGGAAGTTTACATACACTTAGGTTGGAGTCATTAAAACACGTTTTTCAACCACTCCACACATTTCTTCGTTAACAAACTATAGTTTTGGCAAGTCGGTTAGGACATCTACTTTGTGCATGACACAAGTAATTTTTCCAACAATTGTTTATAGACAGATTATTTCACTTATAATTTACTGTATCACAATTCCAGTGGGTCAGAAGTTGACTGTGCCTTTAAACAGCTTGGAATATTCCTGGCTTTAGAAGCTTCTGATAGGCTAATTGACATCATTTGAGTCAATTGGCGGTGTACCTGTGGATGTATTTCAAGGCCTACCTTCAAACTCAGTGCCTCTTTGCTTGACATCATGGGAAAATCAAAAGAAATCAGCCAAGACCTCAGAAAAAAAATTGGTTCATCCCTGGGAGCAATTTCCAAATGCCTGAAGGTACCACGTTCATCTGTACAAACAATAGTACGCAAGTATAAACACCATGGGACCACGCAGCCGTCATACCGCTCAGGAAGGAGACGCGTTCTGTCTCCTAGAGATGAACGTACTTTGGTGCGAAAAGTGCAAATTAATCCCAGAACAACAGCAAAGGACCTTGTGAAGATGCTGGAGGAAACAGGTACAAAAGTATCTATATCCACAGTAAAACTAGTCCTATATCGACATAACTTGAAAGGCCGCTCAGCAAGGAAGAAGCCACTGCTCCAAAACCGCCATAAAAAAGCCAGACTACGGTTTGCAACTGCAAATGGGGACAAAGATCGTACTTTTTGGAGAAATGTCCTCTGGTCTGATGAAACAAAAATAGAACTGTTTGGCCATAATGACCATCGTTATGTTTGGAGGAAAAAGGGGGTGCCTTGCAAGCCGAAGAACACCATCCCAACCGTGAAGCACGGGGGTGGCAGCATCATGCTGTGGGGGTGCTTTGCTGCAGGAGGGACTGGTGCACTTCACAAAATAGATGGCATCATGAGGAAGGAAAATTATGTGGATATATTGAAGCAACATCTCAAGACATCAGTCAGGAAGTTAAAGCTTGGTCGCAAATGGGTCAGCTATTGCAAAAACTTGAGACAGCTAATGCATTGTGTTGTGTAATAAAACTGCACATTTTATTGTCCCCAGCACCTGTGTAATGATCATGCTATTTAATCAGTAAACTTTCAATAGTAAACATACTAGCAATATGCTGGCTACTGTTGATAGTCTGCAAAAAGAAAGCTACAAAAAGACATCTAGCATTCGTTTTGGCTAGCCTACTGTAGCCATGTCTATCTATTTTGGAACGTTTGTCTTAAAGGGGCAGCGTCCTATTTTCAAATCTTCTCAAAATGACATCTACAGTGCTTTAGAAACAAAAATGAATGCAGTTAATACAATGCCATTCTAAAGAATAGAGCAATGACTTACATTGCTAAATTATATTACACAGCTTTTTAATACATATCATAATAACCAAATGTAGCCTATTAATAGCTGAATATAGAGAAAGCATGCAAACCTATAGGGCCTGTTTGACCCCAATGCATTTATGAACTACACCACGAATTGCATCAGTAAGAAATCTGTTCATTTGGCGCCCTAATTTGCAGACTGGTAGACTCTTTGGCGAATATCTGCAGATAAATTATTAAAACATTTGATGAAGATGTTGAATCCTCCTCACCGCAGGAACATGTTTAACACCTGCTTCAATCATACCTGTATTGCAGATAGCTGAGAAAATGCCTCTTAAGCACATGGAGTAGCCAGCCACATTTGTTTTGCCGAACCAGCTCTATTTTGGTACATTCTAATTCTGGATTTGTATTTTTAAACAGCAACTATCAGGAAATAACACTGATCACATACAGTGTTAGTTTATCAGCTGTTGTACAATATGATATAAAACACAGGAAAAACCTAATTTTGACTGCATTGGGCCTTTAAAAAAATGTGTACGATTCTGCTGACTTCCACAGGCTTCAAGCTTCCTTTTAAATGTACAGTCCATTCAGAAAGTATTCAGACCCCTTGACTTTTTCCACATTTTGTTACGTTACGATTAAATATTTTTCCCTCATCAATCTACACACAATAACCCATAATGACAAAGCAAAAACTGGTTTTGAGATTTATTTTTCACATTTATAAAAAACCTAAATATGACATTTACATAAGTATTCAGACCCTTTACTCAATACTTTGTTGAAGTACCTTTGGCAGCGATTACAGCCTTGAGTCTTCTTGGGTATGACGCTACAAGCTTGCCACACCTGTATTTGGGGAGTTTCTCCCATTGTTCTCTGCAGATCCTCTCAAGCGTTGTCAGGTTGAATGGGGAGCGTCGCTGCACAGCTATTTTCAGGTCTCTCCAGAGATGTTCGATCGGGTTGAAGTCCGGGCTCTGGCTGGGCCGCTCAAGGACATTTCAGAGACTTGTCCCGAAACCACTCCTGCGTTGTCTTGGCTGTGTGCTTAGTGTCATTGTCCTGTTGGAAGGTGAACCTTTGCCACAGTCTGAGGTTCTGGGTGCTCTGGAGCAGGTTTTCATCAATCATCTCTCTGTACTTTGCTCTGTTCATCTTTCCCTCGATCCTGACTAGTCTCCCAGAATCTTGTTTCTGATGGTCTGAGAGTCCTTTAGGTGCCTTTTGGCAAAGTCCTAGTGGGCTGTCATGTGAGTTTTACTGAGGAGTGGCTTCCGTCTTGCCACTCTACCATAAGGCCTGATTGGTGGAGTGCTGCAGAGATGGTTGTCCTTCTGGAAGGTTCACCCATCGCCACAGAGGAACCCTGGAGCTCTGTCAAGAGTGACCATCGGGTTCTTGGTCACCTCCCTGACCAAGGCCCTTCTCCCCCAATTGCTCAGTTTGACCGGGTGGCCAGCTCTAGGAAGAGTCTTGGTGGTTCCAAACTTCTTCCATTTAAGAATGATGGAGGCCACTGTGTTATTGGGGACCTTCAATGCTGCAGACATTTTTTGGTACCCTTCCCCAGATCTGTGCCTCGACACAATCCTGTCTCGGAGCTTTACGGACAATTCCTTCAACCTCATGGCTTGGTTTATGCTCGACATGCATTGTCAACTGTGGGACCTTTATATAGACAGGTGTGTGCCTTCCCAAATCATGTACAATCAATTGAATTTACCACATGTGGACTCCAATCAAGTTGTAAAAACATCTCAAGGATGATCAATGGAAACAGGATGCACCTGAGCTCAATTTCGAGTATCATAGCAAAGGGTCTGAATACTTATGTATATAAGGTATTTCTGTTTTTCATTTTTAATACATTTGCAAACATTTCTAAAAACCAGTTTTCGCTTGGTCACACGAAATAAAATAAATGGATGTGCCAGAAAACAATAGGCCAAGTGGATTTCGACTCATCGTTACATTATATGGGATGTGCAAATTCACTCACATTATATGGGGCATGAAAATTCATGCTCTCTCCCTCCATGTAGAAATTTGACTGCAACCACAGTGCATACAACACACTCACCCAGGTATCGAGAGGCGGGACTGACCTCAGACTGTCAAACCAGCAGTGTTTCCCTGTCATCGCACACTTTGTGACTGACAGGCACCTGTCCTATCAATAGATCGCTAGAAGATCCATATAGTTTATTCTAGCGGGAGAGTGCTCTGCAGACTTTTTTCTGACTAGGGAATTGAAAAGTAGCCTACTTAATTTAAGTGGAAATAGTACCAGGCTGAAAATTACTCTGTAACTGGCAGTTTAGCCAAAAGCCAGAGCTAGTGGAAAACAGTGTACGCTAGTGTCTACTTCAGTGAGGAAGCACAACAGAAAAATAGCCCTCCTTGGGACCCTGCTTACATGTCTGATGTTGGTGCCTTGACGAAGCCCCAATGGACGGCACCAGTTGCCGAGGGGAGTTATGTTTCACTAAGGGTAGGCCTAGATGTCATGGCTTTCTCTGGTCCTCTGCTGGGATTCCAGCCAAAGAAGGAGAAGGACTAAAAGGTGCTAAACAGGGAACCCCCAAACAGTGTGGGGGGTTTGTATAGATCAGTGTCCAAATTGATATGGCTCACATAATGGTCAATAATCCTGTGCCATTCCCACACCTATTTTTAATCATTCTGATAAACAAACCTTATTTACTAGCTTTGTCTGAAAGAGCGAATGTTCAGGTTGGGTAACTCCTATACTGGAATTTTCGCCACACACAAGAAGCAACAAAGAACAGTTGGCTTTCTATTCAAAAGAGGTTAGGCCTACAGTTAGGTTATACCCAGCCGTACAGGTACTGGAACTGTGATATGATGGTCTAGATGAGTGCATAACATGGCATCAGCATATGGTGTAGTCTAGGCTATGTGTTTACACAGCAGCATCAGATACATGGCTCTGGGTTTATTGAGACTTTCTGTTCAAGCGTCTGCCCAAATATTTTCCTGAGGAAATGGGAGATGAGACAGGATATTCCCAGTGTTGAAACAGCTCTGATCCATACCTTAAACTCTACAGAGAGGACAGTGAAACATTGCATCCCTTTAACCTCCGATCAATCAGTGACTGGACTGGTGCCATCACTGAACATTATTTTGACATCATAGGAACAGTATTTTGTGCGGAATGTTTTGAATATGTAAAGAATGTTTTTTTAGATAATCAGATAAGGTCCGTGACAGCTTGTTGTGCGCTCCTCCAGGAATGTTGCAACGCAACATGTTGTGATTTTAGTGTCTTTGTTTCTCTTACCTGGGAATAACTGGAGGGATGTCGTGCCATACTATGTCATAAACTGATTGGTTCCAGGCACACACAATGTGGTTCTGCTCGTACCACATCTCTCCAAACAAAGAACACCTGTCACTGAGTAGTGTGTAAAGGGAGGAATGAAAACAGTGAATGGAACCTTTTACTTTTAATTCAGTCTCATTCATTTGTGATGCTTTATTGCAAAACGTGTGATTGATTTGATTGCCTCTCTCAACCCCTCTTCCCAGTCGACCGATGATGGAGCCGCCTCTCAAAACGGAGCTGATGCCCATGTCCAAGCGGCCAGATGAGTGGAAGGACCCCTGGCGCCGGTCTAAATCCCCCAGGAGACGTCCGGGCATGTCCGGGTCACCACCGCGGGGCCGCCGGCGACACCGGCCCTCTGGATCCTCTGTCTCACTGTCCAACTCCTCTAGGTAGCTTTCAATTCAGCCTTACCTCTAGTCTGGTACTCTGGTAACACCTTAAATCAACACTTTCAAACAATGTTGTTTTTATTCTGCAGTATTTAAATCTACTTGAGTACTATGTGTTTCTGTGAGGTTAACTGTGGGTTCTGTTCTGCAGGTCTTCGTCCCGCTCTTCCTCCTACACAGGTTCCGGTTCATCCCGATCTCGCTCACGCAGCTCGTCTTTCAGCTCATTCTCCAGCCACTCCTCTCAGCGCAGCTCCTTCAGCGGCAGCTGCTCCAGGTCCATAACACAAACTCTGCCTGCCTGCCTGTCTGTCCACACACACCCCCACAACACTGTCTGTTGAATAGGACACTCATTCACTGAGAGCATGGTAACCTCAGGTCTCCCATAAGATAGCTGACATGTACCATGGATCAGATATGACTTAGGGTTGTATTCAAAGTGGCCTCCTGTTTGTCTCACTGCAGGTCCAGATCGTTCTCGTCGTCTCCCTCTCCGACCCCTTCAGCACAGAGAAACGCCAAGAATAAAGCAGAGGCCCCACTGGCCCTAGGGCCCAAAGGGTAAAGCTGTACTCATCCATCCATAGACATAATGTATATTCATCAGTTGTGCTGTGCACTTCCATACACAACTCACACAGATCATGTGTATTTCCTTTCATGGCTCAAGAGTCAATATAGATACTGAGGCAATCAATATTAATACTTCAAAGTCTTACATAATAATAGGGTAGTTTGCATGTAATGCACATGCTGCATTGTTCGTCTTAGACATGTAGCTAGCATGCTTCTAGTATTAGTCTGTAGTCAATCGCTGTCTCTTGAACAAAGCATGGGTTTTACCCTCATGGATGTGACTTGTGTGAATGCTGCATGCCAAACAACAAACCAATTCCCTATCATCTTCAAGCGTCCCGCTGAAACCTGGTGCACCTTCCCCTCCTGGTAGGGAGAAGGCTCCCCCCAAGAAGGCTCCAAGCCCTCTGCCAGGCCAGCCTGGGAAACCCCCCAAACCCACTCCAGAGGGGGGCAAGCCTGGCAACCCCCGCGAGCCCCGTGAGGGAGGCCGACCCATGCCACCTCAGGAGGGGGGCCGACCCATGCCACCTCAGGAGGGGGGCCGACCCATGCCACCTCGGGAGGGGGGGCGACCCATGCCACCTCGGGAGGGGGGCCGACCCATGCCACCTCGGGAGGGGGGCCGACCCATGCCACCTCGGGAGGGGGGCCGACCCATGCCACCTCGGGAGGGGGGGAGTCGACCCATGCCACCTCGGGAGGGGGGGAGTCGACCCATGCCACCTCGGGAGGGGGGGAGTCGACCCATGCCACCTCGGGAGGGGGGGAGTCGACCCATGCCACCTCGGGAGGGGGGGAGTCGACCCATGCCACCTCGGGAGGGGGGGAGTCGACCCATGCCACCTCGGGAGGGGGGGAGTCGACCCATGCCACCTCGGGAGGGGGGGAGTCGACCCATGCCACCTCGGGAGGCGGGGAGTCGACCCATGCCACCTCGGGAGGCGGGTAGTCGACCCATGCCACCTCGGGAGGGGGGGAGTCGACCCATGCCACCTCGGGAGGGGGGGAGTCGACCCATGCCACCTCGGGAGGGGGGGAGTCGACCCATGCCACCTCGGGAGAGGGGCCGACCCATGCCACCTCGGGAGGGGGCCCGACCACCCATGCCACCTCGGGAGGGGGCCCGACCACCCATGCCACCTCGGGAGGGGGCCCGACCACCCATGCCACCTCGGGAGGGGAGCCGACCCATGCCACCTCGGGAGGGGGGCCGACCCATGCCACCTCGGGAGGGGGGCCGACCCATGTCACCTCGGGAGGGGGGCAAACTCCTCAACCTGCGGGAGGGCCGACGGAAGGAGCGGCAGCAGCACAACCCACCCAGGAGGTAGGACAGAAGTACACACTTCTACTGGTCAGAGATGGCCATCTGTCTATCACAAGTTCCTTTGTCACATTCAACACAGCCAACCTGAAAGCTCAAGGTTATCCAATGATATACCAAGGTATATACCAAAAGGGCTCGACAGGGCCTAGGGATGTTTTGGAACCCTCCGGGCCAGTCAATCATTCATGTCAGTGGCCCGCCAATGAAAAAAATATTGTAATAATGGTATTTTCAATCTAGGCTATGTAATTGATTGAAAAATTACATTAATTCCCCAAAGCTGTTAGTTCGTTATGTACATTGCTGTGAAAAAGTATATGCCCCCTTCCTAAATGTCTCTACTTTTGTATATTTTTGATACTGAATGTTACCAGATCTTCAACCAAAACCTAATATTAGATCAAGGGAACCTGAGTGAACAAATAACACAAGTTACATACTTATTTCATTTATTTCGTAAACAAAGTTATGCAACACCCAATGCCCCTGTGTGAAAAAGTAATTGCCCCCTTACACTCAATAACTGGTTGTGCCACCTTTAGCTGCAATGACTCCAACTAAATACTTCCTGTAGTTGTTGATCACTCTCTCACGTCGCTGTGGAGGAATTTTGGCCCACTCTTCCATACAGAACTGCTTTAACTCTGCGACATTTGTGGTTTTTCAAGCATGAACTGCTTGTGTCAAGTTCTGGCACAACATCTGAATTGGGATTAGGTCTGGACTTTGACTAGGCCATTCCAAAATTTCAAATGTGTTGCTTTTTAGCCATTTTCATGTAGACTTTTGGATCATTGTCTTGCTGCATGACCCAGCTGCGCTTCGGCTTCAGCTCACAGATGGATGGCCTGACATTCTCCTGTAGAATTCTCTTATACAGGCAGAATTCATGGTTCCTTCTATTAAGGCAAGTCGTCCAGGTCCTGAGGCTGCAAAACATCCCCAAACCATCACACTACCACCACCATGCTTGACCATTGGTATAAGGTTCTTACTGTGGAATGCAGTGTTTGGTTTTCGCCAGGCATAATGAGACCCATGTCATCCAAAAAGTTATACTTTTGACTCTGTCCATAGAACATTCTTCCAAGGGTCTTGATGTTCTTCCAGGTGCCTTTTCTCAAACTTGATTGACCTTTCTGGATGAGATGGGTCCGATTATGCCTGGCAAAAACCAAACACTGCATTCCACAGTAAGAACTTAGGCCCACCCACTGGGGAGTCAGGCCCAGCCTATCAGAAAGAGTTTTTCCCCACACAAGGGCTTTATTACACACAGAAATACTCCTCAGTTTCATCAGCTGTCCGGGTGTCTGGTCTCAGAAGATCCCGCAGGTGAAGAAGCCGGATTTGGAGGTCCTGGGCTGGCATGGTTACACGTGGTCTGCGGTTGTGAGGCCGGTTGGACGTAATAACAAATTCTCTAAAACGACATTGGAGGTGGCTCATGGTAGAGAAATCAACATTAAATTCTCTGGCAACAGCTCTGGTGGACATTCCTGCAGTTAGCGTGCCAATTGCGCGCTCCCTCAAAATGTAGACATCTGTGGAACTCTAAAATATGCAGTTTTGTCACACAACACAATGCCACAGATGTCTCATGTTTTGCGGGAGCATGCAATTGGCATGCTGACTGCAGGAATGTCCACCAGAGCTGTTGCCAGAGAATGTAATTTTCATTTCTCTACCATAAGCCGCCTCCAACGTCATTTTAGAAAATTTGGCAGTACGTCCAACTAGCCTCACAACTGCAGACCACGTGTATGGCGTCATGTGGGCGAGCGTTTTGCTGATGTCAACGTTTTGAACAGAGTGCCCCATGGTTGCAGTATGGTATGGGCAGGCATAAGCTACGGACAACGAACACAATTACATTTTATCGATGGCAATTTGAAAGCACAGAGATACTGGGACGAGATCCTAAGGCCCATTGTCATGCCATTCATCTGCCGCAATCACCTCATGTTTCAGCATGATAATGCAGGGCCCCATTTTGCGAGGATCTGTACACAATTCCTGGAAGCTGAAAATGTCCCAGTTCTTCCATAGCCTGCATACTCACCAGATATGTCACCCATTGAGCATGTTTGGGGTGCGCTGAATCGCCATGTACGACAGCATGTTCCAGTTCCTGCCAATATCCAGCAACTTAGCACAGCCATTGAAGAGGAGTGGGACAACATTCCACAGGCCACAATCAACAGCCTGATCAACTCTATGCGAATGAGATATGTCGCGCTGCATGAGGCAATGGTGGTCTGACTGGTTTTCTGGTATCTGTGACCATAAAATGCAAATCTGTATTCCCAGTTGTGAAATCCATAGATTAGGGCCTAATTAAATAATTTCCTTTATATGAACTGTAAATCATTAAAGTCTTTGAAATGGTTGCATGTTCCGTTTCTATTTTTGTTCAGTATAATAGCTTATTGCGGTGAACTCCATTGCTGCTCCGCTAGCTAGAGACTTTACCGGGTCTCATTTTAATATTTTGCAAATCAGGTTGTTTACCTTATTTTCAGGCTGTGTGACACAGGTAGGCCTAATACCAGGCGTGTGTGTGTTATTTTTTTATTGAACTTGCATGACCAGAATCCCACAGCTCACAAAGACACTTTGTATGGTAGCTAGATTGGCATCAGGACGGGCCTTTTCCATGAGCATTACTGTGTGTTGGTGGAAGAGCTATCCTCTGTCTCAGGGTCAGGCGACACAATGGCTGGGCCTTCATCGGGAAGAACCCAGGTCTGGTGCTGTAGAAGGGCAGGAAAGGACAGCGCGGGGGCGAGCCACTGGCTGTGGTTTCTCTCCCTGCCTTGGTAGAATAAACTAGGCTCACACTATGTGTGTGGCATGGTGTTCCCTGTGGAAAATCTCATGCAAAACCTTTTGGCAAGGGGACCTGCAGCTCTAAATACATGTTGTGCTTTCCTGTAAAATGACTTGACCACACTTTTTGTTTGTCATTTTGTTCAACAATGATTCATAGTTAATGGGGGGACATTTTTACACTTTTGCTTGACTCCTTCTATTTAGTGGAACATGATCCATTACTTAAATTCATACCATGCATGCATACATTTTGAATAGGAACTGTATGAATGCTTTTCTTTTGATCTTCACTTTTAGTGGTTATATAATTGAAAGAATGTGAGAAGTAGTTAGGTACAAATATTTGTGCTTTGTTTTAAGTTGAAATGTCATTTCATTTCTGTAGAGTGCTTTGTACCTCCATGTACATGGTCACTTGGCACAAGAACAGGCAAAGTGAAGGAAGTACAGTAATATAATTTATTGATTTCACAGATCTCATGTGGTGTCAAAGAATGGAACTATTCACGTAGCGCAGATTGTAATAAACAACCACAACCTGGCACTACTCCGTCTGTTCATGGTTTAACAAAATATTGTATGTTGCTTAGTTTGGCAAGAGCAGTAGGTTAGCTTGATAACAGGAGTAGGACTTGAAGACATGCTGTTGTAGGATGTTTCCTCTCAGGTGAACTTGTATTGTCAGTCAGTTTGTTAGTCAGTGTTTCTCCTATATTTAAAAAATCTGCCGAGATGCGCTTTTAAAGGGATATGGTGAGATTTTGGCAATTTAAGTCATGAACTCATGGACACCAATTATGTCTCTGTGTGCAGTTTGAAGGAAGTTGCTAACTAGCGTTAGCGCAATTTCTAACTAGCGTGCTGACTCAAGTCATTGCGCTAACACTACCTTCAACAGCAGTTCTATTTCAATTGGTGTCAACATTATTAAATGTTCATATATTTTGGAGTAGAATGTCCTTTTAAAAAGTCACGAGAAGTGCCTTCCCACAATCATTCTACAACAACACTCCCCCCTCCCCACGCTAACTTTGTCACCGCTGCTTTAAAAAATCTTAGTGGAAAACACTGTTAGTGGTGTCATATGAACACAGATATTGTTCCTGCTCTGAGTGAAATCTCCCTGCATATGTGATACCACACTCCACTCCTCCTCTGCAGGGACAATAGTTAGTTTTCTATTACAGTGAGGGAAAAAATTATTTTATCCCCTGCTGATTTTGTACGTTTGTCCACTGACAAAGAAATGATCAGTCTATCATTTTAATGGTAGGTTTATTTGAACAGTGAGAGACAGAATAACAAAACAAAAATCCAGAAAAACGCATGTCAAACATGTTATACATTTATTTGCATTTTATACAGGTAACAAACTCCCTTTAAGAGTGTGCTCCTAATCTCAGCTCGTTACCTGTATAAAAGACACCTGGGAGCCAGAAATCTGTCTGATTGAGAGGGGGTCAAATACTTATTTCTCTCATTAAAATGCAAATCAATTTATAACATTTTTGACATGCGTTTTTCTGGATTTTTGTTGTATAAACCTACCATTAAAATTATAGACTGATCATGTCTTCGTCAGTGGGCAAACGTACAAAATCAGCAGGGGATCAAATACTTTTTTCCCTCACTGTATATTAATGTGACCTATAAACCCTTGCCAAATATGCAATGGGACTGATGCGTTGTTACAGTGATGTACAATCTACTATTAAAATTGATCTTTTCATTAACTAAAATATGTGCCTCTTTCCCCCCTCTCCTGTCTTTCTGTTCCCCTGCTCCAGGCGGACGGTCAGTGGCAGTGTGAGTGGCAGTAGTTACTCTGGCTCCAGCTCTCGCTCAAGATCCCGCTCCTCCTCTGCATCCATCTCACCCTCCGGATCCAAGAAGTCCAGGTAGAAATAACAGATCCTACTTCCACTACTGGGTAAATGCAGTGGTGGAAAAAGTACCCACTTGTTATACTTGAGTAAAAGTAAAGATACCTTAATAGAAGTAAAAGTGAAAGTCACCCAGTAAAATACTACTTGAGTAAAAGTTTTTGGTTTTAAATATACTTAAGTATCAAAAGTAAATGTAATTGCTAAAATACAGTGGGGGAAAAAAGTATTTAGTCAGCCACCAATTGTGCAAGTTCTCCCACTTAAAAAGATGAGAGAGGCCTGTCATTTTCATCATAGGTACACGTCAACTATGACAGACAAATTGAGAAAAATTTTTCCAGAAAATCACATTGTAGGATTTTTAATGAATTTATTTGCAAATTATGGTGGAAAATAAGTATTTGGTCACCTACAAACAAGCAGGATTTCTGGCTCTCACAGACCTGTAACTTCTTCTTTAAGAGGCTCCTCTGTCCTCCACTCGTTACCTGTATTAATGGCACCTGTTTGAACTTGTTATCCGTATAAAAGACACCTGTCCACAACCTCAAACAGTCACACTCCAAACTCCACTATGGCCAAGACCAAAGAGCTGTCAAAAGACACCAGAAACAAAATTGTAGACCTGCACCAGGCTGGGAAGACTGAATCTGCAATAGGTAAGCAGCTTGGTTTGAAGAAATCAACTGTGGGAGCAATTATTTGGAAATGGAAGACATACAAGACCACTGATAATCTCCCTCGATCTGGGGCTCCACGCAATATCTCACCCTGTGGGGTCAAAATGATCACAAGAACGGTGAGCAAAAATCCCAGAACCACATGGGGGGACCTAGTAAATGACCTGCAGAGAGCTGGGACCAAAGTAACAAAGCCTACCATCAGTAACACACTACGCCGCCAGGGACTCAAATCCTGCAGTGCCAGACGTGTCCACCTGCTTAAGCCAGTACATGTCCAGGCCCGTCTGAAGTTTGCTAGAGTGCATTTGGATGATCCAGAAGAGGATTGGGAGAATGTAATATGGTCAGATGAAACCAAAATATAACTTTTTGGTAAAAACTCAACTCGTCGTGTTTGGAGGACAAAGAATGCTGAGTTGCATCCAAAGAACACCATACCTACTGTGAAGCATGGGGGTGGAAACATCATGCTTTGGGGCTGTTTTTCTGCAAAGGGACCAGGACGACTGATCCGTGTAAAGGAAAGAATGAATGAGGCCATGTATCGTGAGATTTTGAGTGAAAACCTCCTTCCATCAGCAAGGGCATTGAAGATGAAACGTGGCTGGGTCTTTCAGCATGACAATGATCCCAAACACACCGCCCGGGCAACGAAGGAGTGGCTTCGTAAGAAGCATTTCAAGGTCCTGGAGTGGCATAGCCAGTCTCCAGATCTCAACCCCATAGAAAATCTTTGGAGGGAGTTGAAAGTCCGTGTTGCCCAGTGACAGCCCCAAAACATCACTGCTCTAGAGGAGATCTGCATGGAGGAATGGGCCAAAATACCAGCAACAGTGTGTGAAAACCTTGTGAAGACTTACAGAAAACGTTTGACCTGTGTCATTGCCAACAAAGGGTATATAACAAAGTATTGAGAAACTTTTGTTATTGACCAAATACTTATTTTCCACCATAATTTGCAAATAAATTCATAAAAAATCCTATCATTTTGATTTTCTGGATGTTCTTTTTCTCATTTTGTCTGTCATAGTTGACGTGTAGCTATGATGAAAATAACAGGCCTCTCTCATCTTTTTAAGTGGGAGAACTTGCACAATTGGTGGCTGACTAAATACTTGTTTCCCCCACTGTATACTTAAGTATCAAAAGTAAAATTATACATCATTTCAAATTCCTTATATTAAGCAAACCAGATGGCACCATTGTTCTTTTTTATTATTTTTATTTACGGATAGCCAGGGGCACACTCCAACACTCAAACATCATTTACAAACGAAGCATGTGTTTAGTGAGTAGGGATGACCAGGGATGTTCTCTTGATAAGTGTGTGAATTAGACAATTTTCCTGTCCTGCTAAACATTCCAAATCTAACGAGTACTTTTGGGTGTCAGGGAAAATGTAAAAAGTTCATTATTCTGTAGTAAAGTAAAAGTTAGAGTCAAAAATATAAATAGTAAAGTACAGATACCCCAAAAAACAACTTAAGTAGTACTTTCAAGTATTTTTACTTAAGTACTTTACACCACTGGATATATGAGCATTGCACTGTCTAATGTTACTGGTTTACACACACGAATACAGAATATACTAGAACGTAACGTCTGAGGAAGTGAAGCTGAACGGGTATTCCTTTGAGCAGGTAGTCTTATCCACCCACAGCTTAATTACTAGGATATTGGTAATCCTCCAAATCGACAAGATATGGATATGATTGTTACTAGGTTTCTTTTCATACCACACTGAACAAACTACAGCTGGCAATTATGGTGTTTTAGTAAAGCACTTTGAAACCGACATGTATTGAATCCTTTCTCTCTTCTTGCTTCTCCTTTGCTATTTATCCACTGGTCAACTTCGTAGAAAATCCAGGTACTACGTAAATCTTATCAGCCTTTTCTTTTCCCTGTATACCTGCTTCTCTTCATTAATCTTAACTGTGATTGGTTTCTTCCTCATGTTGCCCCACCACTCACTCATTTATTACCCTCTGTCCTTGTGTGTTATAATCATAACTTTTTTCTCATCCTAAAATATATAAATTTTTACTGTAGTGTATGAGTTAAACTACGTGTAAACAATGTGTTTTTGTGACGCAGCACTGAGTCTCTTTCCCTGTGTCCTGTGTGGTCTCTGTGCAGGTCTCTGAGTGTGAGCAGTGTGTCTAGCGTGTCCTCGGCCTCCAGCAGCAGCTCTGTGAGGAGCGCTGACTCAGATGACATGTATGCCGACCTGGCCAGCCCTGTGTCGTCAGCCAGCTCCCGCTCCCCAACCCCAGGACACCCCCAGGCCCGCAAGGAGAGGGGCCCGCCACGGGACAGGGGCCCCAACAAGGACAAAGGTAGCGGTTAGGCTTTTGTTATAGACTCTGACTCACTCTGTATTGTGTTTTGGTTGGTGTGACACAGCTATAACATAATCTCAGCATTTAGTGGTTGTTGGTGACATACGTAGTGCTCTCCACACAGGGAAGCCCACTAAGAAAGATGAGCCCCATCCCCCCAGGGAGGACCGGAGAAAGATGGATCTATCAGGTCTCCCTCCCAGAAACACTCACAGCCCCATGCCCAGGTCTGGGCCTGGCAGCAGGGGACACGGTCTTGGCGGCCATGGTCCTGGGGGCCACCCCATGCACCCGCCGCACGGACCCCCCATGGTTCCCCCTGGAGGTTACGGCCAGCACAAAGACATCAAACTCACGCTCCTCAACAAGGTGACTAGTACTGGATTTACTGTTGAAAGTCAACTGCTCTTACCCCAACCCAGGTAGACTAGTGATGAGTCTTTGAAGTTCTCTGAAGAATATGTAGATACGAGTTACACTAATATCACACCCTGTGACACTGATGTCATTATGGGGTTTTAACTTTGGGGAAGGACAGTCAGTGTCTGACTTCCTCATACTCTTGTGATGTTATCAGTGAGACTGAATAACTAGATGTAATAATATTAAGCCTCTGTATACAATAATTTTGGTTTTGCTTACATTTACTCTCTGTAAACTGATATACAAACATTTGAATACCACCATTGAAGATGTGATTTGATCTCAATTTAATGTACTCCATTTTGCATTTGTTGCTTGTGCAATATCTGACTAAACATGGCGCTCTCTTACTCTGTAGCAGCAGGCAGAGCGGGGTAACAGGAAGCGATACATGCCTTCAGACAAGGACAGGCCGACCTCTCCCCTCAGCAAGAGGATAGCAATGACTCCTGAGAGAGGTGAGGGCCTCAAACTGCCCAGAAAACTCCTAAGTCAGGGATGAATGTGTTCTTCCCAAGGAAATCACACACATAGACATACACACACAAATATGTGGTTCAGTTAACCCAAATGTGGAAATCCAACACCAGAGAAACCTCACAATAGGCTGCATTCTTCATGATCTGTCTGTGTGTTGAACTTAGTCATTAATCTAAGGCCACATGTCCCTGTTGTATTCTTGGTAATCAACTTCCCCTCAATGTCCTGCAGGTCGTGGTGACAGGAGGATGCCTGGGCGGCCCCCACTCTCTCCTAGAATGGACCGGCCCAGAGGCCAGGGCCCTCGTCCCATGCCCCCACTGGGAGAAAGGTATGTGCTCTCTGTGCTGCTTCTCACCCCAGAATAGACACACGACCCCAACCTGCCACCTATTTGTTGGTGCTGCCCTTCTCCACTGCAGTAGTGATGTCATTTTAAGATGTTAGAACAACAACAATCCTTTGTTTTGAATATGAAACAAGTCATGAAAGTGGAATCCCAGAAGTATATGATATACACCAATAATACACATGACCATGCTGCCACACCATGTAGAAAACTCACACAATGTGAGCCACATCTACAGGTATCGTCTCTACCCAGGTAGATTTATCCCCATGATAACCCTTGTAAATTGTCATAGGCATGTGGCACTAAACCCAACCTTGTGATTTCCCTGTTTAGAAAACGTCCTTTGTCCCCACCACCCAAGTCGTCTGGGAAAGGTCCAGGGGGGTTGTCATCGGGCTCAGGGAAGCCTGGCAGCACACTGTCCCGCCGTGAGGAGCTGCTGAAACAGCTCAAAGCTGTGGAGGACGCCATCGCCCGCAAGAGGGCCAAGATCCCTGGGAAATAACCCTCCCCCTGCCCGCCCGCCTGCCCACATCGTCCAGGCAACATCAAGCATCAAGGGACATAAGTCACCAATACCATTCATAACGCCTAGCGTTCTCTGGACATTTTAAAAGGGTTTCTGTCCCAAAATGTAAAGGCTATTGTGTAATTGTTCCTCAACAAAATGGCCACCAAAACATTTCTGCTTGTTTGCCCTCAGAGAGAGGTTGTCTTGATGATTTTACAGTGCTGAAGAAATTAAGTAGCAGAGTGTCACTGTTGCTCACTCTTGTCTGTTTAGTGAGAAGGCAGAATCTTCACATTGTTTCAATGGTAAGGTGAATTTATATACTTTTGTTCCACACTCTCGCTCTCTCTGTCTGCCCCTTTTACTGTCTCATATCGCTCATGTTTTCTTTTTTTGTGGGGTTGAGTGTTGGTCTTGCCCCGTTCGGTTCTGAAGATCCTGGAAACTGCTTCTAGGATCTCAACTGGTTCCCTGTACAAACATTTAGCATCAGTATTAATTCAGACTGAGAAACATCAAGCACGCTCACAGGACCTCTTGTTCATGGTGGTCACATCTTAACCAATTACTTTTCCTCTTCTAGGTCTGTGCGTTGTGTTATCTTACAGTGTGTATTTTACATACTGTTTTCAATCATAGTGAGCATATGACAAGCACCCATTTTTTTTTCTCAAGTGTATGATTATAGAGAACAAATTGACAGTGATGTGAAGTATTGCTTTTTTAATCTACAACATTATTTCTGTAGCTCTTAAGTGATAAACTGTTTTATTTCTCCCACATTTTTAGTTGACACAGGAGTGTATGTTTGTGCTTTTGTGACAAAAGGCTTCTAAATAAACTATTTTGATAAAGCAAAACCATCCGTGAGCCATTCCCTTCTCTCCACACCCTCACTCTCGGCTATGTTTCCACGATCCTACATGAATTTGATAAATCAGTTCTTCAATTGCTTGTTTCCTATTGTTCCTCACAAGAGCTGGAGCTTAATGTACTGCATGTTAACATACATTTTCACTACCAAATATATAATTAGAACAACGACTTTCTCATCATGATTACTGCAGATCTTATGCATGTCAATCGGCAGGACACAATTTGGTGTTTTCAAGGGTGGGGCAAGGACATCACGGATGCATTCCGGGTTTTTTTTAAACACCATTGCCCTCCGTGAACAAACACTCCCACGTAACTTTTTTCCCCCCTACTAGCACTGACTTTAAGTAAATAATGACTCCGATATGTGGTTGTCGCAACTAGCTATTTTAAGATTAAATGTGTTTACATGTAGGTGACGTCATGATAATTGAACGTTAGCAAGGCGGAAATGTGAGCCCAGCTAAACGGGTCAATGGTGCAAGTCTACTGATTTAAACATTTGATTATTGGAAAGTGAAACAAACATTGGAAAGTTCAAGGTACAAACATTGGAAAGTTCCATTGAACAAGTCTACTGATTTAACATGTTTGCTCTTCGGGCAGGGATTTGATCATTGGAAAGTTCATGGTACTTGCCGTTATTGGGCTAGACTCCTCATCACCGTTTTCACTGAGTCTCTTCAAAGTGGCCGATGTGAATTTGTATCTCTTAGACATGTTAATCAGTGGCATATTGATAGTCTAGGGTCAGTTTCATCATGACCAGAATGTATTAGAAGAAACACACTGTAGTAGTTTATCTGCATACGGTTGGATTCTTCTGCATACTAAAAGTCCCAAACACTGACAGCTCATTAACTTGAAGATAGAGGCAACTTCTACTTTATCACAAAGAAAACGACCTATTTATAATGAAGCATGTTGTCTTCTGACAGTTTACTGTACCATGTGGAGTCCTTTCCTGATTTGTCTTTGCCTATGTATTGGCTTGATGGTGAGGATACCTGGCAGTTTGGCAATCTCACCTGATAACGTTTGTCATTACAATGCACTGATAAGGCATACGTGTATGCCCATCTCTCACTGCTGTACAAACACCTCATCTGCTTTATTACTGACTTGTATTTCTAGAACCACCTCTGTTGGAAAGAATTCAATCAGGAAAAACAAGGATTCAAAATACTTTCAGGAATCTGTGGCATCTACTTGCTCAGTAATGGTAGGGCTCAGACAGTTTAGGTGGGGCAGTGGAGAGGACTGAGGAGTGCTGAGGCTATCCTGATGAAACCTTTGATCGCATCAGAGTGGGAAGACCCAGGCTGCAGGAGAAAGTTGTCACCTTGTAGGAAGACTGATGAGGTTGTCTAGTGAAGCAGCTAAATATACTGTAGTGAGAATTTAAGCATCATGCTCTGATAATCAAAATAAAATCATTAACAAAGCAAAAACCTGTGATCCTCTGTAGCTCAGCTGGTAGAGCACGGCGCTTGTGACGCCAATGTATTGGGTTCGATCCCCGGGACCACCCATACACAAAACATTTTTTTTGCACGCATGACTGTAAGTCGCTTTGGATAAAAGCGTCTGCTAAATGGCATATTATATTATTATTATTATAAAAACCCATTGGTCTTACAACTAAATGAACCATAATCGTATTTATTTTTTATTTTTATATATAGTATGAAGTTACATTTATTATTAGTAGAAAACAGTGAAAAGGTGTAGTAGGATAAGCCAAAATTAGGCTACATTTATAGCTGGATGCAGATTTTATCAGTTTTATCAGTGTATGTATTAATGAACAGTTTTGTTACATTTCTTCATAATTCCTAGCTTCTGTCTTGACTGAGAACATATTAAGATTACTGTCAGTCATAAAGGACTAAGGGATGCAGGCTGTCTGATAGTAGATATATCGTCAGCGTCAATATATTAATTATATCAGATAACAAAAATCAATATGAGTATAAGCTATAGTATAAAGCACATGAGCTCATATTAATTAATGTAATAACAGGTGATGTAATCTTAATGTAGACACTCACTGCTGGAAAGAGGATGCAGGGAACGCAATATTCTATTTCCTCCTACATGCGGATTTCCCCAAGCAGGTGGTAGACTTGACTATAAATTGTGTAGGAGCATGGGCATAATGGCACAAACCGAGCAAAAGCACCTGGGCTCCTCTACTATCAAGATATTTGATATTTTAACATGCCAGGCCTATTCAAGATTATGCAGGTAAGTAGGAGATTGACTGCCCTGCAATTAACACCTCAATTAATGTTGGGTTGCCTTCTGATCCATCATTATGGATAGGCCTTATTCAAATGGTAATTTCAAAATGTTTTTGATTAATTTATTTCATCATTCATTCCTTTGCAGACTCTACTTTTACTTGGACTTGTTATTGCTAAATGTACATGGACATTAGAGGCACACAAGTATAAGGGATGCTTCAGTGCAGAAAAACTGGAGGATAGAGCTCTCAAGATCCTTCACCGAAACCGGTACCAGACAGATGTTCATATTGATGAAACACTGTATCACAAACTGGGTACGAAGAAGACCTGCCCCACTGTGCTTCGTTCACGGTCATTAGACTACAGCAACCGTTCAGTCTCCCCCTGGCGGTACAGGTAAGGTATCTCTTTCTACTCCAAGTAAATACCTTTTGATAGGTCAAAACAAATGTTGACCATGCAGCCATAATATTATCAGTCTGACAATAACATAATTTGAGTAAATGTGCATGACATATGGCTGGGAAATACATTTTCGGATAGCATTATTCATTGATTAATTGTCTATTTTGATAATTTGATTGCCACTTTTCCCTTAGCATCGATAGCGTGGAGGGACGATTCCCTGAAAAGATTGTTGTTGCTGAATGTCTATGCGAGGGATGCATTATCATTAAAGGGCCCGGACATCACGAGGCCCAACATCATGTATATAACTCTGTCCCTATAGAGCAAACCCAGATGGTTTTGATGAAGACCGTATGCCTGAACAACCCAGAAAAATACTCACTTACATCACACTTTGTCAAAGTGCCCATTGCCTGCACCTGCGTTAGAAGTATGATTGCCTCTCATAGAGAACATTTGTTAGACAAACTGTAGTGACATGTTTCACATTTTGTTGTTTGTTTTAAAATGCACTTACGTTATTGAAAGTATAACACTAAATATGCTTATGGATAATAAGCTATCGAGAATACATGCATTTTTAGATGAGACTAAATTATTTATGTACAGTATTTATGTTGCAAGATTGTATTTATTTGACTATTTATTGAACTAGCTATGTTCTCAAGCTGTTTATTTATCTATGGTTTTTGGTGACTTTAGTTAATAGGCCTGCCTATTCCTTTCAACATCAATGTGTTCTTCTGTTCCTGTTTTCCCATCATCATAATCAAAGATTTCAAGATAGCTGGCTCTAATGTTGAAATGTTTAGAGTTTTCCAAATCCCACATTTTCCAAATGACTAATTAAATAATCAGATTATAATCGTTTGATTAGGACATCCATGGATATTGATTGGTAGTGATGCATTTATAGAAATGTAGCATAATTTATGGAATTTTATTGTTGATTCCTTAATAAAGATGCCTAATGAAATATCTGCCCCTCTTGCTTTATTTAGTCCAGCCTACATATTCAAGAATTACAGATTTTCTATACACTTTAACAATAAACCACTTGATCAGTAGACAAGGTGAATTAATTTAGGATTAAAGGTGGATTAAGCTTCATGGGGGTCATAATATATACTAACGTTATTACATAGGCTAAACAAAGAAACGCGCAATGGAAAGCGCTGCATTATTACATTAATAGCCAACAATTTATTTAGATTTGAGAATCAGCGCAGTTGAACTCCCTGATCTATAGGCTACGTCATGGCTGCAATCCTTCTAGGCGTCCGCCATTTCTTTACCCCTGTTTTATGTTTTCAGATCTATGAAATGATGACCAATCGGATGCACTCCTGAGCTACCCACAATACGTATAATTTCGGCGACAAGTATTTTTAGCAGCATGGCTAGAAAATAGTATTTACATTTGACATTTTAGTCATTTAGCAGGTCTTGAATAAAAAACGGCAGGACCTCTGCTGCTATAGCGAAATAAAACATAAATATGACTTCAGCCATACTGTCTGCACTTAGTGTCCTCACTAAACCTATCGGAGGTAAGTTAATATTCAGTGTGATTTTGCTAAATACGTTAATCATTAACATATCTGTGTACAGTGCTTGCTAGCTAGCTAGCTAGCTAAATTAGCCACAAATGATTAAGGGAACGCTGTCTACGTTTAATTTGATCCATTTGATCTGCTATACTGCATTTCATTTTGTCCATGTCAGAAGAAAAAGCGCTGTAACTAGCTAGCTTGGTAAATCATCTCAATCAATGGGCTTTGACTAAATCTGTCTGTGTGTATGTGTGTCTGCTGACCCTATGTGTCCCCTCCAGAGACCACAGTGCATGGTACTCAACACACTGAACAGGAGGCACTGACGGCTGCACTCCAAGCCAACCAGGCCCTGCTGGAGGAGCGTCTGCAGACAGAGAAGGGCCTGGACGAGGTGCGCAGCCTGCGGGAGGAGGTGAGAGCTGGGGTGCCCTGGATCTGCACCGATACAGAGGACGTCACATGGAGCTTTGTCCAGGAGTGTCTGCTGCTGTTGCTAAGCCTGGCCCGTAACCTCACTCTCCAGCTAGAGCTCTTCAACCAAGCCCCCAGGCCTGCTAAGTCCAGACTGCGGACCCCTGAGATGGCCCCTCCACTGCCTCCTGACGTGCTGAGTGTGGCCCAACAGAAGACACTTGGTGCAGCTCTTCAATTTGTTGTCTCGCTGGGCCTCTGCCCCTACCTGGCCCCGGGGGTGGGGGTGCCCCTGGGGCGCAGGTCAGCGTTTGGGAAGATGGTGGAGGGGTTGGTGTGTCACGATGTGGCCCCTGTCCCTGAGCGCCGTCTCCTGACCACCACTGCTGTTCTGCTGGAGCTGTCTGTGCTGTCATCACTGGCCACCATGGTCTACACTCGCCACCTGGGAGATGTCATGGCAGCGCTATGCCATCTAGGATACCGCCCCCACCGCCCAGAGAAAGGCACCACTAAGGAAGAGAAGGTAATTCACTGTTCCAGCCTGACGATGTTGAATATGAATGGTATTATTATACCTTGATATCAGTAGTTCAGCAAAATAAGATGCCCATGTAGTTGCCCGTTTTGCCTATTTGCCATATGAAGTCAGTTATCCAACTTGTGAAAGAGATGATTGTAATAACACCCTTTTTCCACTAGATGGTATAAGTATTAAGCAGAGGAACAAGCAGGCTCAGCTGTTTTTGCATCATCGCTAAATCCATATGATCACCCTTTTGATAATGTAGGAGCTCAGTAAGGAGGAACGCAAGAACTGCAGGGAGGCCCTTCAAAAACTCTTGGGGAAAGTCTACCAGCCAATCGTTATCAAAGAGTTGCTTATTCTCCAAGGCGGTCCCAAACAGGTAGAGCGCAGTGAAGTGTCTGTACATCATTACGTATCAGTATGTTTTCCTCTGTGTACTTGTATATGGTGCTGTGTCTGTCTACTCTGGTGTAACATAATGTAGCAGGCGTAAAAGAAACGCTTGAGCGGCCTTTCTTTCATTTTGATCATAACAAGAGAGAGAACTGTCTGGGGAGGTTCTTTTCTGCATTGTTCATCCAATGCAGTAAATGTGGAGGAGGAGTTAAGATGGAGTGTCACCATGTTAACGTCCGAAAGCGGTAATCTTGTCACAGGCACGGGGGGGGGGGGGGGGGGGGGGGGGTTCTGAAAACTAGCTGTTATTGGCAAAGAGGTTTAGAACTCTTTCTTATTAGTTTAACTAATTTACCGCCTGGTGAGTTCACCAGGCAGGCCAAAACTCCAAACAGCTCTTACACTAAAAGGGCATTATCATACTTTTCACAGTATTATTCCAACCTCATCGTGTGGAAATATATATAAAACACAGGAAAATCACGTTTTTGACTGCACCGGGCCATTAAATAAGACATCTCAGTCTTACCCCCTCTACTTGTCTTTTCCTACTAGCACTGACTTTGCTGATAACTTATTTATTGAGGCTAAATGTACTTACTACCACTAATGTGGTTGTCTCACCTAGCTATCTTAAGATGAATGCACTAAGTAAGTCGCTCTGGATAAGAGCATCTGCTAAATGACTAAAATGTAAATGTCTCTCTGTCCTTCCAGGCCCCTCCAAGCCCTGGTACTAGTGGTGGCAATAGGAGCCATCTGAGTCAGGCTACCCCATGGCTGAGGTGTCTGTGTGGGCAGCTGCTGTCTGAGAGGCTGATGCAGCCCAATGGAGTCCAGTCTGTGGTGAGGGCTATCCTGGAGGGAGGCGCAGGTGAGCTCAGCTGTAGACGTGGGGGGAACATTTAGAAAACCCTGAGATAGCCAAGCCATGAGAAAGAGATGGGCAAGAAACATCTCTACCAAACTCTTAGGTATTATCAGTTGTGATGAATGAGCCATAAGTGTCATTCTTACCTGCTTTATAATAAAGCAGTTTCACTTTTTGTTCCCTCCCTCTCTAACAGGAGGAGAGTCTGACTGGAGGAAATGTGATGGTGTAGCCAGGATCCTAGCAGCCTGCCCTCAGCAGTCTCTATCTCCAGACAGCTACTACAGCCAGGTTTGCCCCCAGGTAAACCTGTCATGTTTTTAAAGATTTATGGAAATTGAACTTGCTATACATACCGGCATAAAAGTCATAATAATCTCTAGATTCATTTTGGTAATAATATTCTCTCATAATGGTCAGATTCTGGAGCTCCTGCACTTCAGAGACAAGCTGACAGCTCAGCAGTTCCAGCGTGTGGCCACCAGGGCAGCTCTCACCATGGTGCAGGACCGCCCAGAGTTTGCACTGCAGTACCTGCTCACTCCCCTCTTCAGCTCCCTTCACCGCTGTGGTCAGATGACAGGTCAGTGCAAGCTGTGCAGTATCTCTGAGAGAACAAATGTACTAATTAGTTACCTACACCATATATACAAAGTATGTGGACACCCCTTCAAATGAGTGGATTTAGCTATTTCAGCCAGACCCGTTGCTGACAGGTATATAGAATAGAGCACACAGCCATGCAATCTCCATAGACAAACATTGGCAGTAGAATGGGCCGTACTGAAGAGCTCAGTGATTTTCAATTTGGCACCGTCATAGGATGCCACCTTTCCAACAAGTCAGTTTGTTAAACTTCTGCCCTGCTAGAGCTTCCCCGGTCAACTGTAAGTGCTGTTATTGGGAAGTGGAAACGTCTAGGAGCAACAATGGCTTAGCCAAGAAGTGGTAGGCCACACAAGCTCAAGGAATGGGACCGCTGAAGTGCGTAGCGCATAAAGATCGCCTGTCCTCGGTTGCAACACTCACTACAGAGTTCCAAACTGCCTCTGGAAGCAACGTCAGCACAATAAATGTTCGTCGGTAGCTTCATGAAATGGGTTTACATGGCCGAGCAGCTGCACACAAGCCTAAGATCACCATGCGCAATGCCAAGCGTCGGAGCAGTGGAAATGCATTCTCTGGAGGGATGAGTCATGCTTAACCATCTGGCAGTCCAGCGGACAAATCTGGGTTTGGCGGATGCCAGGAGAATGCTACCTGCCCAAATGCATAGTGCCAACTGTAAAATTTGGTGGAGGAGGAATAATGGTCTGGGGCTGTTTTTCATGGTTCGGGCTAGGCCCCTTAGTTCTAGTGAAGGGAAATCTTAACGCTACAGCATACAATGACATTCTAGACGATTCTGTGCTTCCAACTTTGTGGCAACAGTTTGGGGATGGCCCTTTCCTGTTTCAGCATGACAATGCCCCCGTGCACAAAGCGAGGTCCATACAGAAATGGTTTGTCGAAATCAGTGTTGAAGAATTTGACTGTCCTGCACAGAGCCCTGACCTCAACCCCATCGAACACCTTTGGGATGAATTGGAACGCTGACTGCGGGCCAGGCCTAATCGGCCAACATCAGTGCCCAACCTCACTAATGCTTGTGGCTGAATGGAAGCAAGTCCCCGCAGCAATGTTCCAACATCTAGTGGAAAGCCTTCCCAGAAGAGTGGAGGCTGTTAGAGCAGCGAAGGGGGGACAAACTCCATATTAATGGCCATGATTTTGGAATACGATGTTCAAGCAGGTGTCCACATACCTTTGGTCATGTAGTGTATGCTGGTTTGTTAAAAATTACAACTTCTGTAGGATATATAACCGAAAAAGAACCACCACTGTTAGCTTGCAGAGCTGATTGCAGCTGCTCACCGCTTTCTATCGAAATTATTTGGTCTGTGCATCAGAGAAATTGACACTGCTGCAGAGAAAGACTCCACTGGCTTTCAGAACGGTCAATGCCCTTACCGCTCTGAAAATGACACTTGGTATTTACTTGGTGTGTGTGTGCGCCTGAATGTGTGCCTGTATGTGTGTCTGTGTGTTTTGGATTTGTGTGCATGTGTGTGTACATGTATGGATGCCTGTGTGTGTAAATTCGTGGTATTGCTTGAGGAGCACTCCATAAAGTTGGGCTAGTTGAATATGGATCTCCCCCTGCTGTTAACAGGCCTGTGGGCTGGCTGCTGCTCTGACAGATACGTAGGACATGTATTATGTGTTAGTGAAAACAATTATCCTCTATTCTGTAGGTATTTTCCCTCGCTCAATTCATAATTTTTTTTAAGCTAGTGAAATTCTGGTTTACGATTAATGATGTCTGCTGGCTGTAAGTGCTTGCTGACGTGGTGCTGAACATGAATCTCTAGGTTCAGACACAGCCCTGTGGATGACAGTTTGGGTGGCTCCAGGCACTGAGTATGTCTGTATTTGTCAGGGGAGGGTCAAACCCAGGTCACAGTGGAAGAATGGGAGCTGACGCGCTGTGTGGAGGACGTATTTAAGGTGAGTGGAACACAGACTATTAACTCAACCATGTACTGTATAGGCCAAACCTAGAGATTTACTGTATCACTCTCTCCTTCCATTTCTCTCAGATCTGTGTGGTGGGGAACAGCCCGTCTGCTCCTTTGCTAAAGGTTCTGGGAGAAGTGATTCCTGTTCTCTTCGATCTGTACTGCTTCACCAAAAAGAATGCTTCCCACCTACGGTCAGTTCTGTTTTTGAAATGCTTCTACTGCTGAGTATTTCTGTATCTGGCTATTACTATATAGCTGTTTCCAGTCTCAGTAAGCCCTATTTGTGATGGTCACTTCAGCAATATAACAATGGTTTCCCCTGTATCTTGTCATGGATCAGGTCCTTTCTGCTTTTAGGTCGTTTCTAACTTTTCCCTGTGTATGATGTGTATTTTGTGTGCTCCACAGTGCCCCCTGTCAGGAGATCCTGCTCTGGTACTTGGGCAACTCTGAGCTTCCTGTGGCCCTCTCAACCCTACAGCAGCTGTGTGCCATGGATGGAGGGGCAGGCGGGGTGGCTTCTGGCTTCCATTTCACCCCTGGTAGTGAGGGAGGGGCACAGCTTACCCCCTCAGAGACCATCAGGTGACTGGCATTCAACATCACACAATTACTGGTCCCCAATGCTCCCATATGAGAAGAAGATGCTAGTAAAACCCCTTAATTGGGCGGAGAGGTTGTTATCACTGATCTGATGACTGGGAGTGATTAATGTAATGTAGTGGAAACTGCAAATGCACCTATCCAGTCATGTTAGATCATCGATTATTCCAAGGAAGGACAAAACATTTAAATATACAATCATCTCCCATTATGTGTGTCGGTCTCCTCTACCCTTCATGTCTCAGTGATGAGGATGACGCTCTGTATGAGAGGGTGTCTGGGGAGCAGTGGAGGGTGGAGTGTCTGGCCCAGCTGCTGGCTGAGATGAAGGACAGCGACCTGCCTGGAGACTTCTTCCTGGAGCTGCTGCAGGTAGCTACTGTACCACACATAGACACGTACAGAGAGGCAGCCTATGGCTTTGGCCATTATTGTCCTGCTGCATTCCTCAGGTGGGGTTGGTCTGTAAATATGGATGCTCTCTTCCCTGGCAGGCGCTGACTTGCTGGGCTGCAGAGGAGGAGGAAGAGGAGGAGGAAGAGGACACGTCAGCCATGACACTACTGCAGCTGGAGCAGCATATGTTAGGGAAAGTCACAGGGCGGGGTCAGAAGCTGGCTCTACTGCAGGTGCTGGCTGTCATGTGTGAGGCCCTACCACACACCCTGATGCTGCGCAAGCCAACCCAGGTAACTACTAGTATACACCCCACAGATAAACTCGTGAACCTTGCTCCTGTTCAAGATTGGATCATGTCAGATGCCAACAGTTGATTGACTTGAGTATTTGCTTTTCACTGCTTAACTATTTATCTCCAACAATAAAGCTTCAGTCTTCCATCATTTATGTTATTTTCTCAGTTTATGTTCACCATCTCTCCACTTGTAGTTTTCTGATTAGCTTTTATCAAACTTTAACTTTAAGTCTGTGTGTCTTTCCCTCAGCATCAGGGCTTTACAGAACACTGGTCCTCTGGGTCTCCTTATTAAGGAATGAGGGCATGTAGAGTAATACTTTAAGAGCTCTAATAATAGAGTGGTCTATCTCTGATTAGGTAAAAGACCCAGGGCTAATGCTATGCCATTTTGCCTGAGGAAAACCATTCACTCTCAGATTAGGAAACTTCTCTGATAAACTGGCTTCAGTTCAGTTGATAAGCAGTATTTTTAGCTATTTTATCTCGAGGGCCCTCGGCCAGGGTTTTTTGCTGAGAAATGTTAAAACGTTTTTATGTTTAAATCTGTGGGTGTGAGAATTTAATAGCACTATTTAATATACACCTAGTGGTAGGAAATGTGTGGTTTGTATACATGCAGCTGTCTGTTCGTCTTGTGTCTGATACATCTGTCTGTCTGTGTGTCCACTCCCAGGTGGTGGAATTCATTGTGGTCATGCTGCAGAGGGCCTGTGTGGGTTTGGACCAGGTCCGGGCTGCTGAGGGTCCAGTGGAGACCCAGACTCTCAGTATGGGAATGGGCCTGGTGGCCACCCTGCTCTCAGGACCCTCACCGGTACTGCACACACTGCTAGGGAACACACACCATTCTGTTCAGGCAACAGGCTTTACCATTGATACTACTGTAGATGTGTATGGTATCATACTGTATTATATGTGGCATTTTGTTTTGATGTCTCTCTCGCTCTCTTCTTGTTGCAGCTGAGTGCTGAGGACTACTCCTCGATGTCCAGGCTCCTCCCACCTCTGGAGGAGATTTCCCAGAGGCACCCTGAGGTGGTCATCCAGGAGCTGGCCTCAGACCTGCGAGCCGCCATTGCCACACACGGTGCCCACCAACCTGACAACTTGACACGAGCCACTAAATATCAAAGTCCCAAAACGGACAATAAAGTGCCTACTAAGAAAAACTTCATGACCCAAACTAGACTATACTCACACCCCCTTAATAACAACCCCAGCACACACACTACTCAAACGCCTAACACCCGAGCCCCAATTCAGACCTGCATCCCCAACCTCAGAACACAGAGCAGATCCGGTGATGGGGATAGTCTGGGCCAGAAAACTCTCCCATCCCAGAGGGTATCATCTGGGGCTGGCCAGGGTCCTGCAGCGGTGTCTGGTCCTGATGGGGGGCAGTCAGGAGGGAGGGGTGACAGCAGTAGCAGCAGTAGGGCCTTCTCGGACTGCCTGCTTGGGGCCTGTGATCCTGAGGTCCCCACCAGAGCAGTGGCCCTGAGGACCTTAACCCGGGCCATACAGAATGGAGACAGGGAGGCTCTTCAGAATCAGGAGAAAATCCTCACGGTGAGTAGAGCGGTGGAGAACCAGTAGATATAGCGTATTGCTTATAAAATATGACTTAGTGGTCTGACTATGTATCAACCAAGGGACCCAGTGCAGTCATTGGTTTAATAGGTTCCCTCTCAGTGGTATCTATCTTTCTACCTCCATTGCTGACCTCCATCTCCCTTGAGAGGGGTCTTCCTCTAACACCGTAGCCTCACGCAGGCCCTGGAGGCGCGGACTGTAGCAGCAATACCAGCCTCTGTGGGTGCTGCTGTCTGTTTGGGTGGAGAGGATGTTTAATAGATGAGGGGAGTTGATCAAAGACCCTGGGCGTTGCAGTGTGGTCTATGGGGACTTGTTAATCTGGCTGAGGGTGGTGAGGTTGAGGGGACTGGATTATCGCACTGTGTCTGGGTCTCATTTAGTATTCAGTGTAATGAGCACCACTCCCCCCCCGTCCCGTCCCGTACCGTCTCAGCCTAGGGGGTCCAGTACCTGGTGGGGGGTGGGGATCCTCTTTAATCTCCATCCTATTGTACTTCTCTTTGTGTTGGGGTTGTTTTGGGACAAATTATACGCACTATGAAGAAATGTATGGATTTCAGATGGGAAAGTTGAGCAGCTTTGGTGTAATGTGTCCTCTAATGGCTTTGTCTTCCAGCTCTTCCTGGAGAACTTGGAGCATGAGGACACGTTTGTTTATCTGTCAGCCATTCAAGGTAGGAAGTCAAGGGGCTCCAGGTGGTGCTTAACCTTACATGTGTAAACCTTTGGTCTTTACTCTAGTTTTGTGGGGTGATATTAACCTTTGGCTTCGGCTGGCTTTCCATTACCACGTTGTAGCAAGTATAACTAGGATACAACTGTTGTATCATCTAATTTGCCCTAGAAATTGATCTTCTGGAATGACATTGACTTGCAGTGGAATCATTTCATGGTATATAGGTTTTGTTGGGCTTAGGGTTTCTCAGTGACCCATTCTCTGTGTCCCTCTCTGCAGGCCTGGCGGTGTTGGCTGACTTCTTCCCTGAGAGGATCCTGCTGCGGCTGCAGGAAGAGTACCAGAGTGGTCCATCCTCTCAGAGGGAGAGGTCCCTGGAGACACGGCTGAAGGTTGGAGAGGTGCTGATGAGGGCTAGCAGGGCTATGGGTGAGTGGACTGTTATGAAAATGTATGCACTCACTAACTGTAAGTCGCTCTGGATAAGAGCGTCTGCTAAATGACTAAAATGTAAATGTTATGAACACAGCTAGCTGATCTACTAAAAATCTACTCACCACACATCCTGGGAGAGGCTCCAGCAATATACTTATGAACTCAATGAGAATATGATATTTTGGTGTGTAGATTTGAGCACACAGAGAAGGAAGCACCTGCAGCTAGCCCCAGTGACACAGTTTACTAGGATTTGACAGATTCATAGTCTTTTTTGTGAGGGACATGTGTATGAATGATTGTGAATTTGCTTACTCATGTTAGTGTTTCCATTTCAATTATGCATACATGTGTGTTGGTCTATGTTAACAGTGTATGGGGCCCAATTATAGTTACAAAGTCATAAAACAGTCGTAAAACAGAGTAAGTGCTTGTTCCACACTGAGGGGACTGTATCAAAACCTATCCCTCTCTGATAGAATTCCTTGTTTGTGGTTTTTCCCTCTCCCTGGTTTTGTCTGCCAGATCTTGATAGTACCATTTTCCCGGGACAAGTGAGGGGTTATTCGGCATGTCCCCCTTCCCCTCCCTTGTCTTGGATGTGAAAGGCACCCAGACAGACCAGCTCCACTAGCCTAACAGAACATCATCTCAGCTGGTTCAACAGCTGGTTTGTCACCCCATTAGATATCCACAGGAATCTTTTGTCACTCCTCTGGATCACTCTCCCCTTTCTTATGCATCTGGGAAACTACCCCCGTCCGCCAAACCCCATAATCGGAATTATGATCAAACAATATTAGCACCCCATCCAATTTTTGTACTACAGATGGTCATTTTTTGAAATTATTTTACTATTCAAATAATGTCATTAGATTTTTTTACATATCCGGATAGTCGAAATGCAAAATAATAATACAAAAATTGCTCTTGACTCTTGACCAATCAAAATGATGCAAATGCACATGGCAGGGGTAAACAGAGGACAGACTGTATCTGTATCTGGAAGGTGGAGGGTGGAGGCCAGGGCAGGCTGAATGATACCTCTCATGGTGGGTCTGTCTGACTGGGCCAGCAGACTCTGCTGCAGGGACACCGGCCCAGTCCACCCATCTGGGTCTTACTGGGTCTTACTTGGACACCCAGTCACCTGGCCAGCTCCATGGCTCCCACTGCTTTATGTTCTGAAATAGAGCAGGTTTTGCACTGTCAGTGGGGGGCTGTCTTAGTAAGACAGATACACACACACACACACACACACTTACACACACTGAAAGGAATAAAGCGTCTTCTCTATTTTAGTTTCTTCGCAGATTTAGCAACCACCTTTGCAAAAGAACAATGAGTCAGCTCTTTGTATAGATTAAAACAACTTCACCAGCTGGACCACTAGGCAGGTAGTGTAATGTCATGTCCTCCTGAGGTGCATTTGAGGACAGACCAGACGTGGGGAAGTTTCCTCAACACTGTCAGCAGCCAATAGTCAGTTTTGCTGGCAGCCAATAGTACAGTATTGATAATCGTTAATGCAAAGACAAACCTTATCTTCTTCCTTCCTGTGTTTCAGGTGACCTGGCGCCCCACCATGGCCGGCCCCTGATCGGGGTCTTCCTGAGGGGGACGAGGGACGAGGACAGCAGTGTCCGTGCTAGCTGCCTGTCCAACCTGGGAGAGCTCTGCCAGAGACTCAACTATGCCCTGGGGCCTTGGGCTCAGGAGGTGAGGACCACTAGTAAACCATGTCATATGGTTAAACAACAATAGTCTGTCTGTTTATTTGCCTATAGTTTCTAAGTATGTCAGTAGACTGTTTTGATCACGTGGATTGGAACATGTTCCGTGTCGCCTCTGGGGATAACGTCAATGAATACGCCGACTCAGTCACCGGATTCATAAAAAAATGCATAGATGTGATACTGATGGTGTCTTTTAAAACTTATCCGAATCAAAATCTGTGGATTGATGGCAGCGTTATCGGGAAACTGAAGGAGAGAGATGCTGCTTATAAACACGGCAAGGTGATTGGGGACAATTTGTATGATTAAACAGCACAAATACGAGCTACGCAGATCGATCAAGGTGGCCAGACACAAGTATAGGGACAAAGTGGAGGGACGGTTCAGCGGGTCGGACACAAGGAGCATGTGGCAGGGGCTTCTAACGATCATGAATTACAAAAAGAAAGCCAGTCAGGTCGCAGACACCAACGCCACCCTGCCGGACGAGCTAAACACATTTTTCTCACGCTTCGAGCATAACAACTTTGAGCCCCTGAGGACAACGAGGGCTACGTGCTTACTGTCTCCACGTAGGACATATGAAAGTCATTCAAACGTGTTAACCCTCGCAAGGCTAACAGACGGCATCCCTAGCCGTGCCCTCAGAGCATGTGCAGACCAGCTAGCTGTTGTGTTTTTAGAACATTTTCAATCTCTCTCTAGCTCAGGCCGTTATCCCCACCTGCTTCAAGATGTCCACTACCATCCCTGTGCCTAAGAAAGGGAAAGTAACTGAACTGAATGACTACCGACCCGCAACACTCACTTCCGTTATCATGAAGTGCTTCAAGAGGCTAGTCAAAGACCACATCACTTCCTCCCTTCCAGACACGCTCAACCCTCTCCAACTAGCCTACCGCCCCAACAGATCCACAGACGACGCAATCGCCATTGCACTGCATACTGCCCTCACCCACCTGGACAAAAGGAATGCATATGTGAGGATGCTGTTCATCGACTACAGCTTGGCCTTCAATACCATAGTGCTCTCTAAGCTCACCACAAAGCTCAAGGCCCTGGGATTGAACTCCTCCCTACACAACTACGTCCTGGACTTCCTGACGGGCCGACCCAGGGGGATGAAGGTAGGCAACATTACCTCCTCCACACTGATCCTCAACACGGGGGCCCCACAAGGGTGCATCCTCAGTCCCCTCCTGTACTCCCTGTATACCTACGACTGCATGGCCTCACACAGTTCCAACTCCATCATCAAGTAAGCTGACAACATGACCATAGTAGGCCTGATTACCAACAATGACGAGACGGCCTACAGAGAGGAGGTATGCTCTCTGACGGCATGGTACCAGGTAAACAACCTCTTTCAAAATGTCAGCAAAACAAAGGAGCTAATTGTGGACTTCAGGAGGATTCAGGCTGGGCACGCCCCCATCCTCATCAATGGGGCTGCCGTGGAGATGGTCAAAAACGTCAAGTTCCTCGCTGTACACATCTCCGAGAAGCTGAAATGGTCAAACCACATGGACACTGTGGTGAAGAAGGCAAGCTAGCGACTTTTCAACCTCAAGAGGCTGAAGAAATTCGGCCTGTCCCCTAGGGTTCTACAGGAGCACCATCGAGGGCATACTGTCGGGCTGCATCACAGCCTGGTACGGCAACTCCACCGCCGCTGACCGCAAGGCTCTACACAGGGTGGTACGCTTAGCCAAACGCACCTTTGGGTGTGCACTGCTTACCTTCAAGGACACCTACTACACCAGGTGTCACAGGAAGGCCAAGAAGATCATCAAGGACCTCAGCCACCTGAGCTATGGCCTGTTCTCCCCGCTTCCATCACTGACACGGAAAGTATAGGAGCATCATGGCAAAAACTGACAGACTGGCCAATAGCTTCTACTGGCAAATCATCAGGCTGCTGAATAGCCACCACTAGGCAGCTATCTGCTCCCCCTATCCCCCTCCTGCCCCCCGGTCTTCCTACTCCTACCTCTATGGACATTCTACCGCAGGTATTGCCCAAGTTTAAAGTTCACGGTTCACTTTCTTCAGAGGGAGAGAACTGAACTGTGGCTGTCTTGTCCTACTGCCCCTCTTTCAGCCCGTGCCTCTGCCCATGACAGATTTCTCCCAGCTCAGCAGTATTGTGTGTTGGAGTGTCCTCTCCTAAAGAGCCCCTCCCCCAGTGCTGAGATCAGGCTTTTCACTGATGAGGGGGAGGGCCCGGAATCACTTCACTCAAACTCTTGTCCGCTCCAGTTGACAGAAATTGTGTGTGTCTGTGTGTGTGTCTGGGCAGCTTGTGGAAGGCCTGTCTGCCTGCTGCAGTGGTCGGGGCCCTAAATAAAGCTGCTTTGATGGCCAGGGGTCTGTCAGCGAGGGCTGTGCACTGCAGACTCTGCTTCATGAATACGCATCTCTGTCAGGCTGAGTAACAGGGATGCTTATTCATGAGAGCCATGGCCCTCTGCTCTCTGCTACAGCCTAATCCCTCTCAGTCCATCACAGCCTGCCGTCGGTGTGTTTGTCTATCCTACCAATATGCTAATCAACCCGGTGCACTAGCGGTAACCACAGCACTCTGAACCTTGGCAAGTTTACTGCTCCTTTATAGATCCTCTATTTCAGCCTCTGAGTGTGTGTATTTATCTGTGTATATGTTTGTTCTTCCTTAGTTGAGCACCTGTTTGACGGCACTGATAAAGACAGAGAAGGAGGCAGAGGTGCGGCGAGCTGCTGTTCACGTCATTGCCCTGCTGCTCAGGGGCCTGAGCGACAAAGCCACCGAGGTACAGTACTAGAGCAGTTGTCTGTGCCCATACAGGTACAATAACCACATGGATACACACATTTGTTGAGCACTCCTACACACATTTGTTGAACAGTCATAAGAAGTAGAAAATTGTCATTGGTATGGCCTCTTACAAAATGTAATCTAATGTAGTTTACATATTAGGGAGTGGAGATGTGTGTTAGAGGGCTGCGGGTCGCAACAGAGATCATTGCGGTGCGGTCGTCATACTGCGGGCAGAAGCGGGCAGTCAGACAACTTTGGGATTACTTTTTTTTTTGTCCCACAGAATATTTGGAAACGGTCGTCGTTCTGCTTTGTATGCGTTAGCCTAGGGACAGCCAAGAGTGCACTTTTTTTTTTATATGCTAGGTGTAATCATAGAATTAAATAGGCCTATAGAATCCCTAATCATTTCATATATGATCTCTGTGGTCTTAATAGCCTAGGCCTAGTAAAGATTTGTCATATCACTTTAAACATGCATTACCTTTTAATGTGGCATAAACACAACCAGTCATGATGTTTTCATCTGATTGTCAAACAATCACTTCAAAAAGGCGCTCCTGTAGTCTACCCACGCACGTTCGTCCACTCACTAAATAATTCCATCATCCAAACCCCAACAGTGCACTGTGCACCCGCAATTTGATGAATGGAAAGAGACATCCGTTACAAAACACCTATGTGTATTGTAATGACATTCTGCAGTTGTCATTAGGCCTACAACAAGTGGAGGGCACTTAACCATCGTGAGTCGAGGTGCAATCAAAAAATTTGATTATCAGGACATGGGCCGTTCTTACAGTATTCTCCCTGTACACCAAGTCAGAACCGCAGGATAATTAAAGGGGGCATATAAGCAGACAAAGAAAGCTCTTACAATATTCGATGATTACATTTCTCTAAAACAGGCTATAGGCTACATGTGCACCACCAAGTCAGAACCAAATTATTAGGGTGAGGCACATGGGCTACTAACAACTTACTACACAACATACACTTAGTATTACTTTCTTGGCTACAGTATACAGTGAGGGAAAAAAGTATTTGATCCCCTGCTGATTTTGTACATTTGCCCACTGACAAAGAAATGATCAGTCTATAATTTTAATGGTAGGTTTATTTGAACAGTGAGAGACAGAATAACAACAACAAAATCCAGAAAAAAGCATGTCAAAAATGTTATAAATTGATTTGCATTTTAATGAGGGAAATAAGTATTTGACCCCTCTGCAAAACATGACTTAGTACTTAGTGGCAAAACCCTTGTTGGCAATCACAGAGGTCAAACGTTTCTTGTAGTTGACAACCAGGTTTGCACACATCTCAGGAGGGATTTTGTCCCACTCCTCTTTGCAGATCTTCTCCAAGTCATTAAGGTTTCGAGGCTGACGATTGGTAACTCGAACCTTCAGCTCCCTCCACAGATTTTCTATGGGATTAAGGTCTGGAGACTGGCTAGGCCACTCCAGGACCTTAATGTGCTTCTTCTTGAGCCACTCCTTTGTTGCCTTGGCCGTGTGTTTTGGGTCATTGTCATGCTGGAATACCCATCCACGACCCATTTTCAATGCCCTGGCTGAGGGAAGGTGGTTCTCACCCAAGATTTGACGGTACATGGCCCCGTCTATCGTCCCTTTGATGTGGTGAAGTTGTCCTGTCCCCTTAGCAGAAAAACACCCCCAAAGCATAATGTTTCCACCTCCATGTTTGACGGTGGGGATGGTGTTCTTGGGGTCATAGGCAGCATTCCTCCTCCTCCAAACACGGCGAGTTGAGTTGATGCCAAAGAGCTCAATTTTGGTCTCATCTGACCACAACACTTTCACCCAGTTCTCCTCTGAATCATTCAGATGTTCATTGGCAAACTTCAGACGGGCATGTATATGTGCTTTCTTGAGCAGAGGGACCTTGCGAGCGCTGCAGGATTTCAGTCCTTCACGGCGTAGTGTGTTACCAATTGTTTTCTTGGTGACTATGGTCCCAGCTGCCTTGAGATCATTGACAAGATCCTCCTGTGTAGTTCTGGGCTGATTCCTCACCGTTCTCATGATCATTGCAACTCCACGAGGTGATTTCTTCCATTTGCGAATAATCGCACCAACTGTTGTCACCTTCTCAACAAGCTGCTTGGCGATGGTCTTGTAGCCCATTCCAGCCTTGTGTAGGTCTACAATCTTGTCCCTGACATCCTTGGAGAGACCATTGGAGAGCTCTTTGGTCTTGGCCATGGTGGAGAGTTTGCAATCTGATTGATTGATTGCTTCTGTGGACAGGTGTCTTTTATACAGGTAACAAGCTGAGATTAGGAGCACTCCCTTTAAGAGTGTGGGAGCCAGACACATGGGAGCCAGAAATCTTTCTGATTGAGAGGGGTCAAATACTTATTTCCCTCATTAAAATGCAAATCAATTTATAACATTTTTGACATTCGTTTTTCTGGATTTTTTTGTTGTTATTCTGTCTCTCACTGTTAAAATAAACCTACCATTAAAATTATAGACTGATCATTTCTTTGTCAGTGGGCAAACGTACAAAATCAGCAGGGGATCAAATACTTTTTTCCCTCACTATATATATATATATATATATATATATATATATATATATATATATATATATATATATATATATTAATTATACCTAGTCACTATAAAGATAGAGGTGTCCTTCCTTCCTAATTCAGTTGCCGGAGCGGAAATAAACTTCTCAGGGATTTCACCATGAGGCCAATGGTGACTTTTAAACAATGGCTGTGATAGGAGAATAACATTGTAGTTACTCCACAACACTAACCTAATTGACAGAGTGAAAATAAGCATAGAATATATTCCAAAACATGCATCCTGTTTGCAACAAGGCACTAAAGTAATAATGCAAAAACAACACATTACTGAGTATCATGTTATGGGTATGCTTGTAATCATTAAGGACTGGGGAGTTTTTCAGGATAAAAAAGAAATGGAATGGAGCGAAGTACAGGCAAAATCCTAGAGGAAAATCTTTCCACCAGACACTTGGAGATGAATTCACCTTTCAGCATTACAATAACCTAAAACACAAGGCCAAATCTAAACTGGAGTTGCTTATCAAGATGAATCAAGAATGTTACTGAGTGGCCCAGTTACAGTGCTGTCTTAAATCTGCTTGAAAATATGGCAAGACCTGAAAATGTTGCACAATCCAGATGTGTAAAGCTCTTAGAGACTTACCCAGAAAGACTGACAGCTGTAATCGCTGCCAACGGTGATTCTAACATGTATTGACTCAGGTTATTATTGTTATTTTAATTTTAATTTTTTACAATTTCTTGAATTTTTCTTCCACTTGAAATTAGAGTATTTTGTGTAGATCATTGACAAAAAAATGCCAATTAAGTCTATTTTAAGCCCACTTTGTAACGCAACAAAATGGGAAAATACTCGGAATACTTTCTGAAGGCAATGTATGAACGAAATGGATGCAATTAAATACTTTAAGTCCGGGAAAACTCCAGGGATGGCATACCAGTCGAAGTATACCAAACCTTTTTTGATATACTAAGAGGACCGTTATTAGCATGTTTTAACCACTCCTATGTAAATGGTAGATTATCAGACACTCATGAAGAAGGTCTGATTTCATTATTACTGAAACAGGATACAAGTGGAAAATATAAAAATCCAGTCCATTTAAAAAAATTGGAGGCCCCTTACACTTCAGTGTTGTGATGCAAAATGTATAGCGCATAGAATTAAAAAGGTATTGTCGGATATTATTCATTCTAATCAGACAGGTTTTTTACATGGAAGATACATTGGAGATAATATAAGGCAAGTCTTGGAAACAATAGAACATTATGGAAAATCAGAGAAACCAGGCCTTGGCAGACTTCGAAAAGGCATTTCATAAAGTACGACTGGGGTTTATATATAAATGCCTGGAGCATTTCAATTTTGGTGAATCTCTTATAAAATGGGTCAAAATCATGTATAGTAACACTAGGTGTAAAATAGTAAATAATGGCTATTTCTCAGAAAGTTTTAAACTGTCAAGAGGAGTGAAATAAGGTTGTCCACTATCGGCATATCTATTTATTGTGGCCATCGAGATGTTGGCTATTAAAATCAGATCCAACAATAATATCAGGGGATTAGAAATCCAGGGCTGAAAAACAAAGGTGTCATTGTACGCTGATGATTCATGTTTTCTTTTAAATCCACAACTAGAATCACTCCACAGCCTCATAGAGGATCTAGATACATTTTCTAACCTCTCTGGATTACAACCAAATTATGACAAATGTACTATATTACGTATTGGATCAATAAAAAATACAATTTTTACATTGCCATGTAGTTTACCAATAAAATGGTCTGATGGTGATGTGGATATACTCGGAATACATATCCCAAAGGAAATAAATGATCTCACTTCAATAAATTATAATAGAAAGTTAGCAAAAATAGATAAGATCTTGCTACCATGGAAAGGTGGGTGCCTGTCAATTTGTGGAAAAATCACCCTGATTAACTCTTTAGTATTATCCCAGTTTACCTATTTGCTTATGGTCTTGCCTACGGCTATCGAACAGTTTTTTAAAATTATATGAGAAAAAAATATTCAATTTTATTTGGAACGGCAAGCCAGACAAAATTAAACGGGCCTATTTATATAATGAATATGAATTCGGAGGACAGAAATTATTGAATATTAAAGCATTAGACCTATCACTAAAAGCTTCAGTCATACAAAAGTTATACGCACTGGTTCTCTAGCAAATTAGTCATTGTCTCACCCCATGTTCAATAATGGCCTTTTTCCCTTTATTCAGATTACAACCACTCACTTTCAGTTATTTGAAAAGGAAATCATCTCCCAGATATCACTATTTCTAAAACAAGCCATAGAAAGTTGGTTGCAATTTCTATTTAATCCTCCAGAAACGACAGAACAAATAATGCAACAAATATTGTGGTTAAACTCAAATATACTAATTGACAAAAAACAAACAATTTTTTTTTACACAATTTTTTAAAAAGGTATAATCTTTGTAAATGATATCATCGGTAGGACTGGTGGAGTTATGTCGCACATGCAGCTAACAAAAACATATGAAAATATCTGCTCTACCCAAAATTACAACCAAATAATTGCAGCCTTACCGCAAAAATGGAAGAGGAAAGTGGAAGGAGGAGAAAGTAAGGAACTTGTCTGTCGGCCTTGCGTTAAAGAACATAATTGGTTAAGGAAAACTGTGATAAATAAAAAAGTATATCAGTTTAATTTAAGGACCAAAGGATTGACAGCCGTCCCATATAGATTGCAAAATAGTTGGGAAGAGATTTTTGACGTACCGATCCCATGGCATAGTGTTTATGAACTGATACGCAAAACGACACCGGATTCAAAACTTAGAATCTTTCAATTTAAATTATTATATAAAATTCTTGCTACCAATAGAATGTTATTTATATGGGGGATACAATCTTCCCAGCTCTGCAGATTTTGCTGCGAATAGTTAGAATCATTAGATCATTTGTTTTGGTACTGTCCATTTGTAGCTTGTTTTTGGACACAGGTCCAGGAATGTCTAAAGGATTGCAATATTTACCTGGAGCTAACCCTGCAGATAGCACTACTGGGTGATCTGAAAAGTCATAGTCAATCGATCAATAACATAATAATACTATTAGCAAAAATGTTTATTTTCAATTCACTATCTGTAGAAACAATGAGAATAGAAAGGTTCAGAACTTTTGTAAGACATCACAGTACAGTTGAAATATATATGGCAAATAGAAATCCTATATGGATGGTGTTAAGAGATAGATGGGAGGTGTTGAATGGAATTGAAGGATGGGACTAATAACAACTAACAATAACAAGATAACTAATAATGTAGGCACGCTGTGTCCATAATAAGTGTATGGGTTGTAGGTTGGGAGCTTTTGTGAAGGAGCACAGTTAGAAAGATATGGCATATAGAAGCAAACCGGATGGACATCATGAAAATGATCGGAGAGGTTGAGAGTAGAAGTAGTTCAGGAGAAAGAACAAACAAAATGTAATTATTGTAAAATTGACTGTGTCCATAAAATGTAGATAGTGGGTATGGGCTGGAAGTAGAGGCCTAGGCGTTGTTGTTCACTTGTTTACTCCAAGTGGGGAAAGGGTGGCGGGGTTGGAAAGTAATAAAGGGGAATATATATATATATATATATATATATTTAAAAAAAGGATATGTATGTGTATGTATGTATGTATATGTGTGTGTGTGTGTATATATATATACAGTGGGGGAAAAAAGTATTTAGTCAGCCACCAATTGTGCAAGTTATCCCACTTAAAAAGATGAGAGAGGCCTGTAATTTTCATCATAGGTACACGTCAACTATGACAGACAAATTTAGAAAAAAAAATCCAGAATATCACATTGTAGGACTTTTAATGAATTTATTTGCAAATTATGGTGGAAAATAAGTATTTGGTCACCTACAAACAAGCAAGATTTCTGGCTCTCACAGACCTGTAACTTCTTCTTTAAGAGGCTCCTCTGTCCTCCACTCTTTACCTGTATTAATGGCACCTGTTTGAACTTGTTATCAGTATAAAAGACACCTGTCCACAACCTCAAACAGTCACACTCCAAACTCCACTATGGCCAAGACCAAAGAGCTGTCAAAGGACACCAGAAACAAAATTGTAGACCTGCACCAGGCTGGGAAGACTGAATCTGCAATAGGTAAGCAGCTTGGTTTGAAGAAATCAACTGTGGGAGCAATTATTAGGAAATGGAAGACATACAAGACCACTGATAATCTCCCTCGATCTGGGGCTCCACGCAAGATCTCACACCGTGGGGTCAAAATGATCACAAGAACGGTGAGCAAAAATCCCAGAACCACACGGGGGGACCTAGTGAATGACCTGCAGAGAGCTGGGACCAAAGTAACAAAGCCTACCATCAGTAACACACTACGTCGCCAGGGACTCAAATCCTGCAGTGCCAGACGTGTCCCCCTGCTTAAGCCAGTACATGTCCAGGCCCGTCTGAAGTTTGCTAGAGTGCATTTGGATGATCCAGAAGAGGATTGGGAGAATGTCATATGGTCAGATGAAACCAAAATATAACTTTTTGGTAAAAACTCAACTCGTCGTGTTTGGAGGACAAAGAATGCTGAGTTGCATCCAAAGAACACCATACCTACTGTGAAGCATGGAGGTGGAAACATCATGCTTTGGGGCTGTTTTTCTGCAAAGGGACCAGGACGACTGATCCGTGTAAAGGAAAGAATGAATGGGGCCATGTATCATGAAATTTTGAGTGAAAACCTCCTTCCATCAGCAAGGGCATTGAAGATGAAACGTGGCTGGGTCTTTCAGCATGACAATGATCCCAAACACACCGCCCGGGCAACGAAGGAGTGGCTTCGTAAGAAGCATTTCAAGGTCCTGGAGTGGCCTAGCCAGTCTCCAGATCTCAACCCCATAGAAAATCTTTGGAGGGAGTTGAAAGTCTGTGTTGCCCAGCGACAGCCCCAAAACATCACTGCTCTATAGGAGATCTGCATGGAGGAATGGGCCAAAATACCAGCAACAGTGTGTGAAAACCTTGTGAAGACTTACAGAAAACGTTTGACCTGTGTCATTGCCAACAAAGGGTATATAACAAAGTATTGAGAAACTTTTGTTACTGACCAAATACTTATTTTCCACCATAATTTGCAAATAAATTCATGAAAAATCCTACAATGTGATTTTCTGGATTTTTTTTTCTCATTTTGTCTGTCATAGTTGACGTGTACCTATGATGAAAATTACAGGCCTCTCATCTTTTTAAGTGAGAGAACTTGCACAATTGGTGGCTGACTAAATACTTTATTTCCCCACTGTGTATATGTGTATATATATATATATATATATATATATATATAACATGGGGGATTGGAAGTGATGCAGACAATTACATTGTTGGAAGTTACTATCTATCTGCTGAAGCACAGTTCCCGCTCAGCCCAGTCAAAACTGTTTGCTGCTCTGGCACCCCAATGGTGGAACAAGCTCCCTCACGACGCCAGGACAGCGGAGTCACTCACCACCTTCTGGAGACACTTGAAACCCCACCTCTTTAAGGAATACCCTGGGATAGGATAAAGTAATCCCACCCCTTACCCCACCCCCCCAACAACAAAAAAATAAAACAATTTTTTTTTATTGTAAAGTGGTTATCCCACTGGCTATAAGGTGAATGCACCAATTTGTAAGTCGCTCTGGATAAGAGCGTCTGCTAAATGACGTAAATGTAAATATTAAGCTGATCTACCCTCCAGAAAAAAAAAGAAAAGGAAAAACCTACGAACGAAACTCACATGCTTTTGAAAATAGGATTGCTGATATTTTCTATCATGATGAAGGTAAGACCCTACGCTTGTTCCCTAACAAAGCGGAGTGAGGTTAGGAAAGAGCATGGGCTTGGGCTCCGTCTCAAATATCCCTTTTTTAATATGTATGTATGTACAGTTGAAGTCGGAAGTTAGGATGGAGTCATTAAAACTTGTTTTTCAACCACTCCACACATTTCTTGTTAACAAACTATAGTTTTGGCAAGTCGGTTAGGACATGTAGTTTGTGCATGACACAACTAATCTTTCCAACAATTGTTTACAGACAGATTATTTCACTTATAATTAATTGTATCACAATTCCAGTGGGTCAGAAGTTTACATACACTAAGTTGACTGTGCCTTTTAAACAGCTTGGAAAATTCCAGAAAATGATGTCATGGCTTTAGAAGTTTCTGATAGGCTAATTGACATAATTTGAGTCAATTGGAGGTGTACCTGTGGATGTATTTCAAGGCCTACCTTCAAACTCAGTGCCTCTTTGCTTGACATCATGGGAAAATCAAAAGAAATCAGCAAAGACCTCAGAAAGAAAATTGTAGACCTCCACAAACACCATGGGACCACGCAGCCATCATACTGCTCAGGAAGGAGACGCGTTCTGTCTCCTAGAGATGAACGTACTTTGGTGTGAAAAGTGCAAATCAATCCCAGAACAACAGCAAAGGACCTTGTGAAGATGCTGGAGGAAACAGGTACAAAAGTATCTATGCCCACAGTAAAACGAGTCCTATATTGACATAACCTGAAAGGCTGCTCAGCAAGGAAGAAGCCACTACTCCAAAACCGCCACAAAAAAGCCAGACTACAATTTGCAAATGCACATGGGGACAAAGATCGTACTTTTTGGAGAAATGTCCTCTGGTCTGATGAAACAAAAATAGAACTGTTTGGCCATAATGACCATTGTTATGTTTGGAGGAAAAAGGGGATTGCTTGCAAGCCGAAAAACACCATCCCAACCGTGAAGCACGGGGGTGGCAGCATCATGCTGTGGGGATGCTTTGCTGCAGGAGGGACTGGTGCACTTCACAAAATAGATGGCATCATGAGGAAGGAAAATTATGTGGATATATTGAAGCAACATCTCAAGTCATCAGTCAGGAAGTTAAAGCTTGGTCGCAAATGGGTCTTCCAAATGGACAATGACCCCAAGCATACTTCCAAAGTTGTGGCAAAATGGTTTAAGGACAACAAAGTCAAGGTATTGGAGTGCCTATCACAAAGCCCTGACCTCAATCCTATAAAAAATGTGTGGGCAGAACTGAAAAAGCGTGTGCGAGCAAGGATGCCTACAAACCTGACTCAGTTACACCAGCTCTGTCAGGAGGAATGGGCCAAAATTTACCTAACTTATTGTGGAAAGCTTGTGGAAGGCTACCTGAAACGTTTGACCCAAGTTAAACAATTTAAAGGCAATGCTACCAAATACTAATTGAGTGTATATAAACTTCTGACCCACTGGAATGTGATGAAAGAAATAAAAGCTGAAATAAATAATTCTCTCTACTATTATTCTGACATTTCACATTCTTAAAATAAAGTGGTGATCCTAAATGACCTACAACAGGAAATTTTTACTAGGATTAAATGTCAGGAATTGTGAAAAACTGAGTTTAAATGTATTTGGCTAAGGTGTATGTAAACTTCCGACTTCAACTGTGTGTGTGTGTAAGTAATGACAGTGGTTCCACACGTTCCCGTGACACAAGTTGTTGGAAAATTATTTGTTGTAATTTATTCTGTTATATTCCATTATATTCTTACTATAAAATATGTGTGTTGACTGTGATGGGGCGGCAGGTAGCTTAGTGGGTAAGAGCGTTGTGCCAGTAACCGAAAGGTCACTGGTTCTAATCCCCGAGCCGACTAGGTGAAAAATCTGTCGGTGCCCTTAAGCAAGGCACTTAACCCTAATTGCTCCTGTAAGTCGCTCTGGATAAGAGCGTCTGCTAAATTACTAAAATGTAAATGTAAAAATTATATTCTTACTATAAAATATGTGTGTTGACTGTGATCGGGTAGGTGTGTCTTATCTGTTTAATGAACAAAATAACTATTGATTTCATTTGGATGGCGCAACCATAGTTGCACAGACCCGTAACATAGGCCTAATTAAACTGAAAATATTCTTTTGAAAATACATTTTACTAGTCTTTTAATGTTTCTTAGGAGCTGCCTTAATGAATTAATAATGGATTTATTTTTGATGGTGTATATTCTCAATGGATTTATTTAAATGGACACCCTCCCACATATGCACACCACTACTACCACTCATCCCCGGCATGCACACGGGAGGTATAAAATGTCTATGCAGACAAGAATGAGCTAAAAGTAGGCCTGTTTGTAAGGGGGTCATATAAACATTGCCCTATTTATTTTTTTACAGGCTAAATACTGTAAATCCTATGTGAAAGCAGTTAAAGAAAACAGTGGATCTGTCATTTCCTCCTCCCTTATTTGGAACACCAGTCTGAAAGCCACCTTATAATTTATCACTGAATACCTTTCTGTAGACATCATGGTTCTCTCACTCACACAGCCTTCAGTACACACACCACAGTTTACAGCAAGTACCAGTGTTCGACAGTACAGCTCCCTGAATTCAATTGTTATTATGTCATGCACGGTTATAAATATGGAGTTACTGCCCAGACAGGATATTTTTAGTTTTACCTCAGAAGTATTTTGGTGTGTGCTGCACTCTGTGACCCTAGAGCACGTGAATCGGGTGTAGTAGGTTTGCTGCAACACTAACTGATTTCATTGCACTGTGGCCATCCTGTTTCTACACTCAGGAGGTATCTGTGTTTGATGTGGGAGGTAGGTATGTTACCTTGGTGCCAGCCTGTGCCACTCACATTGGTGATTTCCGATATGGGTTTTTTGGGCTGATTCCGATTTTTGGTGGGACAAAACTTACAGATACCGATATATCTGCCGATATACTGTTTTACAGCGGGAAAATGAAAAAGTGACATTTTTCCAATACATCTCAAAATTGCCATCCATAAGAGCAATTGTCAAAGAAATATGCTTCAAATGTTGATTTCTTATATTGTGACAATATTGACACACTATGAGAATGGCCGCAAGTGTTCAGATAGGATGGAAAAAAGGGAATCTCATCCTTATCTATTGAATATCAGTTATTGGTGGAAATATCATCCGAGATCGTTAAAAAGCCAATATTGTTTGATAATATCAGCGAACCGATATATTGGTCTGGCTCTAATGGAGAGGCCACGCTAATACAAAACTGATAGATGATCATAGCCAGGGATTTTCCACAATGTGTGATGGGACTGGCCACTGTTGATGAGTTGCCAGGGAAAGTCTTCAAATTGGGGGTTAATGCTGTGACACCTTCTGAATTTTGAGAGCTGTATCTTAACTTGATTAAAGGAGTGACTGTACACAAAACGTTGGGAAAAAGACTCTAGGGAAGTTACAGGCAATACTGGTTCTTTTGATCTCTCATTAGTTGGTTCTCTGCTAACCGTGTGTGAAAATGTGTTTGTGTGTGTACGCTTAGTTTCATTGTATCAGTAGACCCAAAATGCCAAAAGTTCAGAGATGTCAAATAGACAACATCCCTGTGTAGCCAGGGCCTCAGAATGTGTACACCAAATATGGGCATTCCTGAAAACAATATAGGCTAGTAGAGGAACCCTTTCTGTGGAGGAAGGAAACAATGTCCAGATTATCACCTCTGGTGCTCTACTCTGGCCGGCATACTGACAATACTAGTAGTAGTGTGAAAACATTAGGTGTGACTGCTGGCAGATTCTCACCAAGAACAGGAAGGAGACTTAGTAAAAGCATCCTGTTTTGGACTGTTTGGGCATTGTAACAACCATGTTATCTGGGGAAAGTCCATGCTCATCTTGGATGACATACTCTCTGTCCAAACAGAGAGTCAAAAGCTGAATACAAAGAACAGCTAACTCCTGTGACTGTCTAAGAACAGGACTGGACACAGATCTGTTGCTAAGGGTCAGTACAGTCTGGACAAAGAACCTGTTAACTTTACCCTTCTTGATTTAGAGGGTTATTCACTCTCCATTCTATCTACTTGTCTGACCTTTGCATTACTGGCCATTTGATTCCTTCGAATAGGCCAATATCTAGTCCAGCGCAGCATACCTCCAAATCACGTTGGCTGCTCCTTTGGAGGTCTGGAGAATTTTGTATTAGCCGAAACGGCTGGAATGGTCCACTGGCTTCCAGCGGCTGCATTTTGATTGAATATTAATTTTCAAGAACCCTTCCCCCACTGATTTACACAGGGTTTCCACCCCATTGTAGCTACTTTCTGCCATTGACTTCACCAGGCTTTCCGATTTAGGGATGCCTGGTTCTCGACGAGGCTAGCCAATATCTAGTCAGCTGTCTTTTGGTTGTAGGACATTTCAAATCTGTAACTGGTCTTCACAACACACTTTTCCCTTCGTTAAGTTTCTCAGGCCTTTCTCAATGTCCTGTCATTCGGATAATTGCTGTAGCTGTGTGTGCAGCTGTTGTGGTGGTAATAACACAGGGTCCATGTGAAAATATCAGGTAGGTAGACCAGACATGACCTCAAACCTGATGACTCAAACCTGGTGTTAGAGGAGAAACAGCTGATGGCTGAAGACCTATGTCTGCCCTCTGCTCCCAGGAACACTGATCACCTACCTACACCACACTCATTATAATAATAATAATAATAATAATATGCCATTTAGCAGACGCTTTTTATCCAAAGCGACTTACAGTCATGCGTGCATACATTTTTGTGTATATGGGTGGTCCCGGGGATCGAACCCACTACCTTGGCGTTACAAGCGCCGTGCTCTACCAGCTGAGCTACAGAGGACCACTGATCACTCCTATTCAGTTCTGCATACATCCCTCTAATCTCTCCCTCTCCCACTTTGTCTCTCCCTTTGTCGCTCTCTTTTTCTCTCTCGCCTTTACTCGTCTCTCTCCTAACTCTCGCAGGTCCTGAGTGATGTTCTGCTGGACCTGTACCGGGCCTTGAAGTGGGTGGTGCGCTCAGACACTGATGATGTCACAGTGCTCCATGCTCAGCTGGCTCTGGAGGAACTCAACGATGTCATGAGGAGGTTCATCTTCCCTGCACAGAAGCTGGAGAAGAAGATCGTGGTCTTGCCATGAGATTTTATGAACATGAACACACAGAACAGCACACACACCAACCAACCAGTGTTACAATAACTTTTTAGGAGTATCCAAGAGTAGGAACTAGGGGATAGTTTCAGACTGGGCACAACATTCCACCTTTTTGTGTAAGTTTCCCCTGAAGGTGAAAGTGCAGCCATTGAACGATAGCTGAACTGTGTGTGAAACATCACTTTCTCAACAAACACTGAGGCACCTCTCTTGGTCATTTTCTCAGTGTTTGCAGTACATGGAGTTCCCCCAAGCCAGCTTGTCATGCTATCATTGTGACCATAGGGAATTAAGGGTATTTTATCACAATGACAGATCTAGGCCTTCTGCAGAGGCACCAAAATGCCCCTCTCTGGAAACCACACCTGTATGTGCCTATGAATCTTATAAACAGAGGTTAGAGATCAAAATTAGTGGTGATGGTGATGATCAGCTGATAATGTGTGTGCCTCTGAATAAAATCCCATTACAGTGAAATAAAATGAAGGGGTATGAGTTTCCTTTTGTATGTTTGAGCATTGTTCTTTACAGTGACCTCAGGCTATTGTAGTTTGTGTTCTAGGCAGATGGCCCAGTAGAGCTGAAAGTAGCTCAGGAGCTGGGACTCTGAGCCACTAGGGACTAACCATGAATTTACCAGAACAGCACTTTTAGCTTCCAGCAATTAACCTTACCCTGCTTGCACTGTAGTCCTGTATTCATGACCATACTCAAGGTCAATTATTGTAAATAGTTGGCTAGTTATCTGATGCTTGCCATTGTATGTTTATTGAATTGAGGACTATACAGAAAATACTTTCGATCTAAACATGTCATGACGTGTCATGATATGTTTTTATATCTTTATTTAGATCATGTATACAATTATGGTTATGTAGTGAGGCACTTAATCAAATAGCTTATGATTCTCTATGGAGAGAGGGATGTTACATTACTACTATAATGAATTTGCCTAACGGTAGATATACTACCTTTATAAGCGACATGAGGTTCAGGTAAGTCATACTAATGCAGCCGGACATAGAAATGAAGAAATGATGTGTGTGCCAGCCTGCCAGGGTTTGTCTCCTCAGCTTGACTGCCAAGGACATTCACACAGTAAGAGGGATGCTCTGATACTGTGATGCTATTCTCTGATTCACCTCAGCTCACCTCAAGACAGTAACCCTGAAACACGACCAGCCAGGTGTCGTACCACACCACACCACAGGCCCCATGCCATTGCTATCTGTGAAATGGCTCTTACACTAATTACAGTACTGCCACACTCTGAGCAGGAGATGGAGTGTGAGGATGAGAGAGTAAGTGGTACCAGACACAGTTTTATACTGTACACAGTAAATATTATAAGATAATTGGTAACTTGGTGTTCAGGGTATGACTTGAGTAGTGTATGTGATTACAGCATGTACTGAGTGTGTGTCAGAGCTTGCTGCAGTTTCTCTCTTTCCCTCAGTCTATCAGCCTGTGTCGGACCTGCAGGCTGTCGGCAGCACGGGCGTAGGAGAGGAGGGGTGGGTAAATAAATAAGCCCATAAAGGATGCTTTGAGCCAGGCAGTGTGGAGGAGAGGAGAGGGGGTCTGCCTGAACAGTCCTGAGTCTTGTTGGAGACTGGCTACACTGCAGTGAGCTGGGACAGGGAGGGGGAGCTAGTGAGAGGGTAGAGGGGTCCTGAAGGGGAGAGGAGGAAACGCAGCGTCAGTCTGGACAGCTATGCACCGAGCTGGGATAGTGTGACAGAGGAGCAGGGATTTGGGCTGTGCTGCAAAGGGATGCAGAGTGGAGCTTCCACTGCAGCAGGGGAGAGTGATCGAGACAGAGATGGCGACTGAAGGACAGGCAGGCAGGAGGCTACAGAGACCCAGCATTAGACCTCCAACCTCTACCACATTGTGTCCCGACCGCTTGCCCATGGGAGAGACCACCGAGCAGACATGGACTCCAGACCGGATGGTTGAGATCCAACCAGGATCAGGGATGGGATCAGCTCATCTGTTATCCTCCTGTACACTTATCTCTGCCTAACACCCTCAGCTGCTGGGTGAGACTGGGATCTGAGGGCCTTCATGCCCTGGGACTGTCCGGGTAGATAGAGGAGAGGGAGAGGAGGAGGGGCAGGGGGAGGTGGGACAGGGGAGGCGGAGGAGAAGGAGGCTGAGGGGGAGGTAGAGCTGTATTTTTGGATGAGGGACTCCTGAATTAAGCGAGCTGGAATAAAGATGTAGTGTGAGTGGGAAGCAGAACAAGTAGTGTGCTGTGCTGCAGAGTGTGGTGGAGTGGAGTGGGGCAGACCGGGAGCCGGGTGGACTAACGGACATACAGGCGGCCTGACGGAGCTGAAGGTGTGACTCCAGAGGGGGAGACAGAGCCTGAGTGGTCCACTGAATCAGGAAGGTATGGGACAATACTGTGTTTCATGTGTCTATGTGTGTGAGAAAGAAAGAAAGAAAGAAAGAAAGAAAGAAAGAAAGAAAGAAAGAAAGAAAGAAAGAAAGAAAGAAAGAAAGAAAGAAAGAAAGAAAGAAAGAAAGAGTGGAACGTTTGTGAAACCTCTGTGTAAGTAAGAACATAAACACTTAGAGAGAACCTTGTGTAAAGCAAATGTGCGTGGAATATTTTATGGAGAAAATGTGTTTCCTCTACCCAAGACTGAGAGTGTTTGTTCACTGTGCTAATGGCCAAAAAAGGATGTCAGATGAAAGGTATGAAAGTGACATTTGGTTTGAAAAGTGTATGGTATAGAATGTTGTATTTTGTGGTAGAGCACAGTGGTTGGTTCCCTGAGGCTGGCGTAACGTTAGAAAGAAACAACGACAGCAACGCCTCAGAATTCCGTTTGAAGACATGCGACCTCTCCAAGGAAAACGTTGACTGTTTGACTTTCCATGGCATCACTGGTTGACTCCAAATTGGGGTCTGGTGGCCATATGAAAAGGCGCTGTTGGGATTTGCCAACAGGCCTCAGGGGAAGCGGTACTGGCTTCTCAGTGCTTATACATTCTATTTGACTAACTGGCCCAGTTATCAGCTACCTCAGCTCAGTCTGCCACAGATGTGCTTAAGCTGCTTTACCAAAACGCTGGGGGACAAGTGCAACCACATGTCTCTTTGTATGGGGGAATGTGAAAGATGACGTTTAATCACAAAAATATTCAATAATTCAAGAAAAGAGATCAATGTATTTTCCATTAGTATTTTTGCCATATAGTCTCTGCTTTTTGTGTATTCCTTGAAAGTGCCCCAGCCATTGTAAAATGTGTTGTTAGATTAAAAGAGAGCCCTCTAGTGGGGAATAGATGGGAATTGTTATACGTTGGCCTACCTGAAGATGATATATTTTCATATTCTGAGTCATGGTGACAATTTTACTAAAGACATACTGCAAGCAGCTGAATCTCCTTTGCATGGAAAGCAGAAAGATCTCTGGTCCACTGAGTTTCTCAAAGAAAACTACAGCTTTGATTCACAGGCTTGTATCTGATTGAATGAACCATGACTCATGAAAGCAAGGCTGTGGGAGTTACAGTATTGATAGTGTAGATTGATAAAGAGTCAAGTTTAAACCCAGCCATCAAGAGACTCCACTCACTTTCCCCATCCCTCTCTCCCTTCACATGGTCATCCACTACCCCTCCTTTCCTTTCTAGGTTCTCACCCCTCCCGTCATCCCTCCCTCCTTTCCTCCCTCCTACCCTTCTTCCCTAGCCTCTGTAAAAGTTCCCTGTCCCATAGCCCAAATGCTCATTCAGTCTGCACCAGCCTGCCATCACACCTGAGAATACAGTCCATTCATTCTGCTGGTGGGACGCATTACACCTGTGAATACCTACCTGGGACCTGGGACGCACCTGGGAATAGCTACCTGTGCCTATCCTTGGATCTCACCTGAGGATCTCCTCTGTGGATGCTGAACTGCAGCTCACCCTAGAGCCACTGGATTACACTGCATATTCTTGATTTGAATGGGACATCCAAGATAGAGGAGATACATGTACTCCAGGAGATGTATGTTTAGGTAGCAGGGACAGTAAAGCCTTGATCATGAAATTAAATCCTGTTTCTCCAGCTGTCACCATGTCCACCACAGTGAGTACTAGGCTTTGACCACTCACTACTCTAAGGACTTAACAAAATTGTTCAGGTATTCCCTCAACTCTGTTGTCGAAATGTGGAATTATACTCAGTGCTTGAAAGTGCATTGTTGTAGAAGGGTCCCACTGGGCACACCATGTCATTTCAATGTAAATAATTCGGTAATATTTGGTTGATACTTTGATCAATGAGATTACAACCTATCTTCATCCACTAAAAAAGACAGTCAAAAGTTTGTTGAATTCCCAATGTGTTATCACTATGCTTTCAACCACCTAAAAGTACTAAATTCCAATGGAAAATCAATTTCTGATTTTTGGTTTAGTTGTCACTTGAATGTGATATCACTGTGCTTTCAACCAATTAAAACCACAACAAAGTTAAAATGGGAATACAATGTTAGATATTTTCTTTATTAAACAACAACTTCATGTATTATCACTGTGCTTCCTCTACTAGCACAACTAAACCACTTGAATTACAGTTTAGATTATTTAAGTACATGGTGCAAGTGATCAGTGTCGTTTGAGATTCTGCGCAGATTATTATAGCAATTGTGAAGATCTCCAGAGACCTGCGACATTTGCATGCTATCTTGAACATGCACGCTTTCTATGATTACATAAGAAGATATTTATTGTCACAACAACCTCAAAATGTGGCCAGGATGTATTACCCATTTTAAAGTTGAATAAATCATCTTACATTAGTTTGTAAGATAGCCTTAACTTTAGGCTATTTACTGTATTTCAAAGTAATATTGAATTGTGTTTGGTTGACAATGCAACCAAATATCAAAATGTAAAGGAAGTGTATCTACTGCTTGGATCTGAGCCACTGGCTTAATCCTATTCTTTCACTTTTATTTTTGGTTGAGATGGAGACCTGAATC